TCTAACCTTGCATTTATTCTTCTGTTTTAGTAATTGCTGTCTGATGGCTGAACAAAAATCTAATCCTGTATGGCAGCATTTCACAAAGCCAACACCAGGAAAAGCCAGATGCAATATCTGCAGCAGACTGGTGAGCTTGGGAGCTGAAGAATGAGTTTGCTGCTAAAGAGATTCTGATGCTGCTATCTTTATTGTTTATAAGTTTAAGTTGTTTATAAGTTGTATTGTGTTTTTGTTATTTAAGTTTATATTTAAATTAACACAAGTCAGTATTCAATAAATGCTAAGTTGAGAAATTTTGTGTATCGTTTGTTATTATTAATGTGATATTTTATCATGCAAATAGAGGGGAAAACGTCCAATTTTCGGCCAAAAAATATCGGCAGCATATATCGGCCATCGGCTGACCCTGACTCCTAAATATCGTCATCGGCATCGGCTATTGAAAAACCCATATCGGTCGACCTCTAGTCACCCAGCCTCAGCACGTCTGCGGGTCCTTGAGCAAGGCCCTTAACCGCTGCTACGGGTGGCTGCCCTTCGTGGACAACTTACTCTGCAAAGAGCAAGTTGAGGGAGGCGTAAAAACAATTTCCCCAAGGGGATCAATAAAGTATCTATAAAAAAATGCTAAATTGTGCTTTTTGTTCTGAGCAGAAGTGCACTTACTACCCAGATAAATAGCTTTAGCCATTTCTGTGGACTGCCTAAGACTGTTGCACAGTACTGTATGTATTTCAGAAAATCGAGGCTAAGTGTCTTTCCCCAGGTTGTGAGAGTGGAGCCCTTAATGGTACTTAATTCAGTAACGACTGCGATACGGGATGGCATCTGTAAGCACAGCTCTACAAAGGCTGTGGGAAACTGACATGAGGAGGAGGAAGTGCTGAAGAATCAGGAACTGGCTAGGAATAGTATACCTAAGAGCAGGAAGTGCACGCCTCCATTACATATGAACACGATAGTTAGCATCCTGTGAGTATGCATGCTGTCACATGGGCACTGCCCATTCCAAACTGGGCAATGACATCACGGGAAAAATTGGTACTTTTACCTGAAATCATTGATTTCCTGTAACTAAAGACACAAAGTTTGAAGTAAAGAAATGTAGTTGAATTAAGGACTGCAAATATAATGTATAAAGCAAGAAATGTTTTACTCCCTGCTAACTTACAAAAAACATTATTAAACAATATGAAAAGTTATGAATGATGAGGAAACTTAATAAGCAATTTGCTCATACCACTTTGAAGAACAGATGTATAATCGGCCTGTGGGGTCAATTTATGGAATAGATTGGACACAGGACTTATAACTATAAATCAATTTTTCCCCCCAGAGTACTGATACTGGTACATGCAGAATTGTATAAAAGTCTGTGTTAATATATGGTTTGATTATGTTTATATTCTTGTTATTTATATGAATTATACTTATATATAAATAGTATTTGTAACTACTAAGAAACAAACAGGAAAATATGAGTCATGAGATATTTGTAGGAGTTAAATAATTCCACAGATTATATTTGTCAAAAGTATTTCAATGATTGTTCCTTACAAAGAGTATGAATTAAAAATGCAAAAGTAACAATCACTTATGGCTGCAAAAAGCAGTTTAAAAAGACATACCAATAAAATGATGTTATTAATGCAACGTAGAATGGATAAATGTCCATACACAAGTCCTGCCTTTTTGATTCCACAATATATTGAGTCACAGTACGACTGAGGCTGTCATCCTGACACAGTAAGTATGTTACACTGAAGCTATAACAGTAAGACTGACGACTACAAGACTGAAGCTGTACACTTTAGGAGAGCAACAGTGGAGCCGTCACAGTGAAATGGACAATTCAGTCATTACAGTGGGGCTGCCATATTTAAACTGATCACAGCATAGTGAAAAGGACACCCAGTGAAGCTGAGGATCATTAATGACAGAGTGAGGTCTGCTTCCGGTACCTTGTTCTGCCAGCGGGTGACAAAGCCGAAGCCGCCGGTTCCAAGGCGCTCCTTCAGCTCCCAGGGGCCGCAGACTTGAGGCTGCAGGGGTGGGACGCGGTTCATGCTGCTGCTGACAGAACCTGGAGAGCAGGGCAAGGTGACAAGTTTTAGATATTTCAAAAAAGCTGTCCAATAGGATGGCTCACCCTGGCCTCACACCTCCAAGGCTGCGGGTTCGACTCACACCCCCGGCTCTGTATGTGTGCAGTCTGCACGTCTTCACGCTGGTAAGAGTTTTTCGCCCACAATTAAAAAAACTTGACATTAGCTGAAATGACATCTTTGACTGCCTTTTGTGGGCCACATTTATAAAATGTGTATCAAAAATGAAAGTCATCCATCGGAATGTGTGTTTTGGTTGGCTATGACTATCCCTGGGACAATGGATGTTGTAACAACATGCACATGGGCATTTGTGAAGTAATATGACTGTCTGTGTAGATGCAATGCTTTTTTTAAACATGTGAGTCTTGCCTAGACGACCATGGGCAAGCAGGTAGAGCTCACTTTGTGATCAGGTGTTCTGAAATATCTGTACCTCTCTGAACAACACCGAAAAATGTCTATTGGTTCACAGAACCGAGATTTTGCAGAAAATGCTGTTAATGATATAAAAAATTCGTGGAAGTACACTGACGTACACTTTGAACAGACAGACTCACTTTTACACTATTAAAGCCTTACAAGACAGTGTGGATTTAGCTTTGCCGGCTTCCAGCGGTGCCGAAGTTGGCTGCGTATAAACATACATAACATGCAACGGTGGGAATCCTCAGAAATACTATTAAGCTAATTTTATGTCTAAAACAATAGTTCCACTTCAGTTAATATGCAGATAAATGCTAAGGCAAGCTTTAAACGCAGGAAATGGAAAGCAAGGTAAGGAAGGGAACATCAGCTAACACGTTATATAGTTGTGGACAGCCGCGGACCGAGGCCGGAAAGCTGTAAGCACGTTAAATTAAGGGTCTTACCTGTCTGTCACTCACACAGGTTCACTTGGTTTTATTTTTAACTTTCTAACTATCCAAGTCAATGTATTTTAGTTCTCTATAAAATACTATCTCTCAGGAACGTAGTCCCAATAAACAAACAAAATCCTGAGGCATAATCAAAACAGCTGCTTACTAATGCGAGTGATTTTGAAATGAATATTTGTTTTTTTAAAAAAAAAAACAACTCTATGCGTTTGGCTACCTTATAAAGTATTTGGGTAGTTACATACAGATAATTGTGCAACTTTCTCGCTTCTCTTTTATTCTCATTAAAAATTTACACGATTGATTTCTGATCGTTGTTCGTCCAACTCCTACGAACTTCCTGAAAGTCACATTTCCCGTAGCAGAGGCGCTCCGAAGCGCGCTCCCGCCGACTCAGCCCAGTGCGCGCTTCCAGAGCGTGCAGTACTGCGCCTGCGCGATTACAGGATTTACGTGGTGTTTAATAGGCTTGGATAAGCACTGTAATAATTGCAATTAAATATTTTTTTGCGTGTATAGTGAAATTAGTTTAATTCTATAGTTGCAAACACACTAATAATGGTCCCTTTATTGATATATTAAGTTTAAACTAAAGTAAGTCTCTGGTCCTGTGTCAAACGCAGAAGTCAACACTAATGCTCCAGTCTTGCCACTGACACGCCTGTCCAAGTAAGGATAGATCGATGATCTCTAGTCAAAGGGAAGTAACAAATAGTCTACATTATCAGGCAGTTTAGAAAAAAAGGTCATGCTAATCTACAAACTTATCTTCCACTCATCCCTTGTGAGATTTCATTTAATTATCATTTCATGGTATAAAAAGATAACACCCTGTTTACCATAAATATTGCATTTCCCAAGAAATAAACAGAAATATACTTCTAATCCCTTGGGGGGTGGATTCCAGGCAGCATATAGGGCCACATATAGTGAACTATATGGCCCTCCTCAGTCATCATTGTATTCATAAATTATTGTTATTGCTCAGATACATTTCAATGGTTTAAATATGTTAAGGTTTTAGAAGGTTTTAATTTAGAAGGTTTTAGTTTGTTTAGTTTGTTTTGGTTTTCATTTCGGGTATGTGCCTTCAAACGGTGTCAGCTAGGTAACGTAAACTGGTCCTGATCACAGACTTCCTGTCTCTGTTTACTGTACAGCTGGAAGGCAGTGATGCAAACAATTCATGCAGCCCTTAAAACCTGCAATGATCTTTACAGAAACAGAAAATCTTATTTGTAGCATGATAAGCTATCCAGTATGATAATATTTTAGTAGATCTGCTGTGTTCAGGCAATCAGCACATAAGGCAGAATAATGTACAAGCCTTAGTGTTATCGTATGTGTGAATTGTTGCCGGTGAACATGGGTGTAACAGTAGTCAGTATATGTAGCACAAAACATACTCATACTGACACATTTTAACATCCAATAAAGGAGTCAAATGCTTTCCTCCATCCGTACTTTTTCTCAAACCACTTGTTCTATTCAGAATTGATGGGGGGTGGGGGGTCCAGAACCTATCACAGAGGCTATGGGCACAAGGCAGGGGACAACCCAAGATGGAGTGCCGATCCATCACAGAGCATGCCTATGGGCAATCTGGTAACTCCAATCAGCCTCAGTATGTTTTTGCACTGTGGGGGGAAAACTGGAGTAACTGAAAGAAACCCCATGACAACACGGGGAGAACATGCGAACTCCACACACAGAGACTCAAACCCTGGTCCCAGAGGTGTGAGGTCACAGTGCCGCGACCCCCTATTAAGGATTGCGGGGTGTCTGGAGCCTATGGGCACGAGGCAGGGAGGTTTCCTCCAACATTCGATGAAGAAAGAATGTAATGACAATATCCCACTTAATGTTCAATGCGAAAACATATAAAAATCCCAAAAGAGAAGTTTTAACCGAAACACACCCATATCACTACTAAAATGAATGACTGTCAAAATATTGGAGTCCCCTTCTCTTAATTTACTATCTTTCGTTTAGCACATTAAAACGTATAGTAGTTCATGCTGCCTAGCTAGGATGGATTGTTGAACCATGTGTGCAGTGACTATGCTCCTAGATATGTATATTACCTCATGTAGGGTGTTATCGATGTAAGACAATGGTATCAAAATAGTGAATGATGCCAAAACCTATAACCCCCAGATCCGTATCCTGCCCAGCGGTGCCGGCGCCGTGGACCTGCCTCTTCCGCAGATCAAGACCAAAGGCATATATAACAGACGGATTCAGCAGAGAAATCAGCAATCTCACTCGAGTACAGACGCGGGGATTTAGAGGGACGGCATTCGACCCCAAACAGAATCAGAGCAGGATCTTCTTTAAAGAGGTAAAGGCAGAAGATAATAACCAGCATGTCGAACGTTTAATATGCGCGGGCTGCCTCCTGTGCCGAGTTATTTCTTGGAAATGTTTACTGTTGATTTGTTGCAGATCGTTGTGCATGCGCAAATAGTCGGGTGATATTTATTGTTACGATTAACTGGCATAAAATAAACGAATTTAGCGGAATAGTCTGTTTTAATCGTGCATTTAAAATACATTTAAAATGCATTTTAAAGTTAAGATGTAGCCTACTTACCTGGATATTGTTTAGATCGGAGTGACTACCTTAAGTAATCCAACGAGTAGGCTGGGTTAAGGGTTTAGGTTGACTAAGTTGTAGGAAGGTTATTGAGTGTGTCGCCTTCATGAAAGCATCGAAACGAACATATGCATGTTCATGGGCAGTGCATGTATGGCAGTGCGTGTGCGTCCGAATTGCAGGGTGTTTTACTTTTTACCTTATGCATGGTGACTATGATGCAGCAATTAAAGAAAGTAAAAATCAATGGTAATACATCGGTAAAATAAAAATGTAAGCAAGTTTTTATGTGTCTGAAATACTAAGCATTGTTTAATATCCAGTAATAATTGCAGTAATCTAAAATAAGTGTCAAAAGTATCAAGGAGAAAAGCTGATTTTGATGAACATATTTGAATCTTCTGCTTTTTAATTTAGAAATATCGTGGATATACAGAAATGCTGCTGTAGGTCGGTTTTGGTAGCTGTTTATGCCCCGGTTTTCCACATCTTTGATTACAAAACGAACGTACATATTTATTCACTTTCCTCTTTGATGACCTGTAGTCCCGGTGCACCATGGTATATTCCGGTTTTAATTTAAAATTGGCCGCAGCAAAAAGAGCGGGCTACACTTCTAGGTGAAGTCTATACTTTCTTGTAAAAAATTAGTAGAAAATTAGTGTCCCTCTATATGACTGTTCCGGACCACAAGTATTCCAAGCACAAGGTTCACGGGTCTTGATAGTTATTGCGGGTGGATAAATGTAATCTCATCGCGAGGAGTGGAGGTAATACAAAAAGTTCTTTCTTTTTGTGCTCTAGTAAGATTAGTCGCCTCGGTCACCACGGCGACAGTCACGCTGATATATCTTATCCAAGGCGGATTTCTGCAAAACACCTAGCGGTGTTAAACCACAAAGCCTGAAATCGCCCCGAGAATGCGATATCATAACACGAAGATATTGCCCTAAGCTGTTTTGACAATCCCCAAGCTGTGTAATAAGGATCGGACATTCTTTGGTGCTTGCTCATCTGTTACTGTGCTGACCTCATCAGTGCCTTGCAACACTGGTTTCTGTACCTCAGTAAAGATTTAAAGGCTAATGTATGAGCATCTATCGCTGAACAGAGTTGCTGTCTTGCTCAGATGCAGCGTATTAAGGGAGAGGATGCTTTTGCTTAAATTAAATGACGTTAGCGCATTGCGAAACCTGTCTATTTGTTATTGTTAACTTGTTTTTGGAGTTATACCAATATTCCAGCTGCTTGTATGCACATGTACGTTCGTGTACTTCCGCATAATTTCCCATAATTTTGTTTTTTACAGTAATTTTGTCAGATTTTCCTGTCTGTTAACTAGAGGGGGATTGGGAATTAGGGTGTGGTTTTTAAGAACGTGGTTAGAATTCTTATTTTGGGTTCTAAACCATCCCCAGACTTTTAATAGACGTTTAAATCTTTGTTGGGCTCATCAAAATGAAGAACAAAATGTTTTCCCAGGCACATTTCTAGAGATTTCGCTTATTTTTCTGTTTTATTTGTCCTCTTTAACCCCAATCTGCCACTAACCGTTCACTGTTTGTGCTGATCCTTCACGTTATTGCCCAGATGTGTGTAACATGCAGTCTAAGAGAGAAACCTTTCTCAAACCATCTGTCTGAAGCCAGATGCTTTTTTTCCTTCCTGCTGCTCTGGTCTGTCACACTGGACACCTGTGTGCACTTCACATTTCCAATATTCTCACATTCCACAGAGGAACAGTTTCAACATTTTCTGTCTCTGATAAGGAAACTGAATATGAACTGACATAAAGCTGTTACTGTGTTTCTGCAATAATACACTTTAAACTTCCTTTTCAAGGTTTCCTTCTTCCTCCTTGCCAGCTAAAATGTTAAATACCTTTCTGGCTAGAAACCAAAGGCCATTGGAGTATTAGCTTTCTATGCTGTTTTCTGGTAGGTGATAAGAATTACATCTTGGTTAAGTAATTACTTTTTAAATCAAACAGAAAAATGCAGGCGTTATTGTTAACAGAAAGAATTTTAGTATAGTATCTCCTTACTTTATTATAATTCCCTACCACCACAGATAAAGAAAATCTTTTTAAAAAGTCCCAGCGTTTTCTGGGCCACAAAAAGGGTAAATTTACTCTCCAGAGAGAGATTCTCCCGGATGAAAGGGGCTGCCGGATAGAGAGAGTAGCCCAGTGTGACCCCCATCTCCACTGCTTGGTGATTCACCCTGACTAACGCTAAACACGCCTGCTGGCCTTTTGGGCTTTGCTGTCAGCACTTTTATATTATTCCGGCCCCTAGGATTGGCCCGACCTCCTGGGGACGTGTCTTTCTCAGAACAGCGAAGGCAGGGCTATTGGCTGGAGTTTGCGAGGCGAATGTGGGCCGAGATGCCATAGGCTGCTCGTCAGACGCCATCAGTCATCTGTCGCTGTGACGGGCTGCTGCTTTTGTTAAGGCGAGAGTTAAGGTGCAAGGGGGAGGGGGTGAGGTCGCTTGGGGCGGTGCCGGGGGCCCTCCTCGTTTGGGTTACATTTTTAATTATATCTGTCCATTCCACAAGCTCTGCAGGAGAGTGAATCCCCCCCCACCCCCACACACACACTCTCTGCACAACCATCTCCTTTCTTCCCTCCCTAGCTGAGTCACGCTCTTTATAATGGCAGGCAGTGACAGAACGGGGGCCAGCTGAGGGGGTCACATCCACAGACGGGCTATTCTGTGCTGCATGCCCCGCAGCCCTGCCCCGCAGCCCTGCCCCCCAGCCCAGCGCTGCTCCATTTGGGGCTTTCGTGTGTGTGCTATCCAGTGACTGTGATTGAGAAATGAAATGACACTTTATTTTCCATTTGCACAAAGACGGGTACATTTAATTTTGCATATCCCATCTTGCTCTCCTTTGAGACATATGCACACATACGAAAGCTATGATATTATGCCTGTCAAAGTGTGCCAGTTTGGCCATTTCAAAACCCCTCCTGAAGTCAGCCCAATATTTGCAGTGACCATCCAGTACACCTGGGTATTTGGCGATCACTGGCACACCATGATTGGATAATCAATACCTCATGATGTTATATTACACCATTATGTTAATTATGTAAGCTGACGGTGAAATTTAAGCGATACTTGGAATGGCTTTGGTGCCACTGAGTAGAGGTTTGGGAACCAAAGCGGTGTTAAATTCGCCATCTAACACGGTATCAGTAACTTTTTGGAGAACAGAAACTGTTAATTTGTGTTCATTTTAATGTTTGTTTTCTTTTTTCTTTGACCACCTTAGACTTTTGCACAGTGCCGCGCGTGTGTGTGTGTGTGTGTGTGTGTGTGTGTGTATTTGGCCGGTGTGAAGCTTGGGCTCTGAGCACAGGGTCAGCTGTTTGCCTAGTGCTTCTGGAGCTTTTCTGAGTGTTAAGGACCTTTTGCTCAGGCTCCATCCGGGATGTAACTATTCTACTGAGGGCAGGATCTGCACAGGTGACCTTCTGATCCCAGGCACAGATGCATAACCCACTGGGCCATGCACTGTTAGGTCAGAGCTTGTTCTTCTGTGACCCCCCTCTGCCTGCAGTTTTGGCACAAAGCCGTTACCTCAGCTTAGTTACCATGGAATGTTTTCATGCTCTAGTTCTGCAGCTGTATTTTGCGAGCCGTGTTGATACCCCGTCTCTGTCCCTGTTTCTGCTTTATCTCCCAGCCCAAATGGATCATGGGGCCTCCGGGTCTGGGGCGCCAGCAAATCCCCATGACAGTTAAGATAGAAGGGCGGTGTCCATCCTGTATGTCCCTCCACCAGCCCAAAACTGTAAAGTCAGATATGACTGTGGGGGAGGGGAGAGTAAGGGCAAGAAGGTAAGGAAGAAGGAGAGAGAGAAGGACAGAAAAGCTCTCCAGAAAGATGTGTGAGACAGTTGGTAACATGAAGTGAAAAACATCATTGCATTTTCTATAAAATACCTGGAAGTATCTCTTCCATCCATCCATTTTCTGAAACCGCTGAATTGCAACTGTGGTCATGGGGGAGGGGGACCGGAGCCTATCCCGGGAACAATGGGCACAGGCGGGAACCAGTGGGTCGCCAACACACTGCGGGCCGGAAGTATCTTTTTTTATTTTAAAATGTTAATTGCCTTCTGGTTTATTGAAGAACAAATTATAAATCGCTAAGGACAGATGGTATTGTGGTGGGCAGAAATAACACAGCTCTGGGAGGTATTCATGAAGGGCCACGGGTCAGGAGAAAATTCTAGAAACAAGGTCACCACAGACTCATCTTTGTTGCCCTATTGTTGGTGGGGGTGGCGGTGTTACGGTGCCCGGTGCCCGGTGTGAATCCATCCTGGATGATGGTTATTAATGACCGTTTCACCAGTGAGCCTCCAGTCAGTGTTCACTGTCCACTTTTCATCACATTTACTAATAAAATATCAAAAACCGTGCAGAACAGCCAGTAGACCCCACTCTCCTTATCCGGGGGAAGCAGGGGAAGTGAAACAATATACAATTCTTTACAGTTTATAAAACAACCCCTGAAATTGTATTTCAGGATCTTGAGGAAATTAGGATTGTTATGAAGAAGGATATGAATGCAATCAGCGTTTATATCAACAATAATGTCATTTTCCTTTAGGCCTTCTTTTATATTATGCATTATTCTTGGGCTTTATCTGGATCTTGAAAGCCATCAAATATAGGGTTAGTTATCAGGTTAAGTAACAGTTTAGCAGCAGCCAGGAAAGATCTATGTGCTTCCAAGTCGTAGCTCCTTGAGTTCAACCCTACCCTGGCAAAGCATGTGGCTCCCCGGCATGGTTGTAACGTCAGCAATGGATTTCAGCTGGTTTGAGAAATCAATCATTCATTTTATTTATAAATCACATTTAAAGCCGCCATATGTCAACCAGTACAGAATACCAATAAATATAATGAAGCACAAAAGGAAAATGTCAATAAAAAAAAAAATGAATAAGTAAGATGTCACATTTTATCCGTCAGGTACTTCAAGTGTTAATGGGTAAAAATGTTTTCAATCTTGTGTTAAAGGTAGAAATCGATGGTGCCGATTTAATATGTGCTGGAGTACATATTATATATAGTATTATACATACTGCAAAAACATGGTCTCCCCAAGTCTTTAAAGAGGTGCATGGTTTGGCTGCTTCCTCTGTAATGTGTGAGGGGGCCAATCCATGACCAGCTTTAATACAGCATTTTGTACCAATTGTAAGCGAGACAAAGCTGACCAGCTGATATCCGTTTATAGAAATTCACAATAATCTTAAGGGCAAATGAAAGCAGGAATATGCTTCTCCAGACCACAACGCGAAAGAAATGTTTCGGCCAGACCATCTGTCTTAATTGAAAGAAGCTCTTTTTATCAACTGAATTTCTGTCTGTCAAATTTTAAATCAGAGTCAAATATGATACCAGGCATGTGGTGGATGTTTTTACGCATGAGGGTGACTGACCAGTTTTCTGGGTTGAGGTATTAATACCTATATGCTGACCAAATAAAATAACTTTAGATTTCCTTTCATTAAGGAAAAGGAAATTATTGGAAATTATTTAGAGTGCGATGTAGTGCTGGAAAGCCAGACTGAAATTTAGCAAGGGCAACAAAAGTCACACTTTCACACAGCATAATCACTGCAGAATTTCTGTCCTGTTCTCAGGCTTCACCAGCACAAAGCATCATGGTCAGTTTTTGTATTGAGATAATATATAAATGAGGCCAATATATGTAAATATGGGAAAAATGTTTCTGCATTGTAGCGTAACAAAAAATTGAAACCGTGCTTAACTGTAAAACCAATACAAAGCCAAAGCTTGTAGTGTAACAAAATTACTAATGGAAAATCCCAAACTATGTGTGGACGTGTGAGCTTGTATGTTCTTGTTGCTGTTAGCATTGGGAGGGGGGGCTGTTCTTCCTGCGTGCCGCTGAAACATTATCTGTATTTCAGGAAACTTTTACAAAGACCCACCATGACGGCCATATCTGCTCTTCTGCTTTTTGTCTCGGCGCTCTGTCTCTCCCTGGCGGACCAGGTAAACACTGCAGCCAGCATTCTGCCTCATCTGATTCTGGTCGACGTCTGATCTCCTGGGGAAATATCACCACGCTTCTGTCCTTGATTTGTTCCTCCTACAACCAAATGTGCTGCTTGTCTGTCTGTCCTACTTTTTTCCCTGTTTCACACCTTTCTCATCTACTTGATAGTATGACCAGTGCAAATAAAGATTTGATTAAGCTTGAAACGACAACGACAGCAGAGCTTTTGGAAAACCCGCAGTATGTAAAGGCTGATTTGTTAGGCTGTTGCAGTGGTGCTTTGCGTACATCTGTCTTCCCAGTTTATTTTCCTTAACCCTGTTAACTTGTAGTGTTCTTCAGTTCTGGCATGCACATGGTTTGGGGAGTATTTTAAAACAAAACTGCACCCCGGGGTGTTTGAATGGGAGTCCCTCAGCCGGGAAGGTGGTACAGGAGCACAGTACAGACTAACGCCACACCCACGTCTCTGTGCCACAGGTGACGTTACATCGCTTCCGGAGAGGGACCCGTCGCTACAGAGGTGAGTTTCTCCTCATCGGTCCTCACCAGGCTACGCCGGTCACTGACCATGTGATGTTCTGCCTCTGTTTGCCCAGAGACATGTCTAGACTTTTTTAAGTGACATTTCTTGTTTGGGAACTGCTGGCCTCATCTGTGTCCCCGCTGGAAACCAAACGGCCATAACGGGGCGATTCTGACACCCCTCTTTCGGCTCTGTGTGGGCAGCGCGTCATTAGTGGAAACCTCAGCCAACCGTGGGTTAGTTTTACTTCGGCCGAAGTGGGCATGACCTTTCAGAGGGCTGTGTGTTTTAATGCCAAACATAAAAGAAATGCCACATGGAATCTATAAGTCATTGTGGGGGATGCAGCAAATTCGGCTGCTCTCTGGTTCTGCCTTGCTGGCCCAAACCCACTCAGGGAAGCTTGTTTTAACTCTCAGCTGGAGGTTCCGTAGGGGAACATTTGTCATTGGAGATGTTTTTATTTCCATAGCCTCTTCTCTTCTCATTGCTGTATGAACACATGCTTGACCAAGGGCTTTGTTATTAATAATATTAAGCCAGAAAAGGCTTGTATGCTTTCGAGTTCATATGGCTTAAAGTTAGAGAGTTAGATCCACCACCATCAAATGGGAACAAAGTATTGAAGGTCACTGATCTGAATGGAAAGGTCATGGATTTCTGAGCCAGCATTCTAGAACTTTCTACTGCGTTCTCCTCTGTCCTCCATCCATCCCTTTATCTTCCATGTGTATATACCCATTCTGATGAGCACTGACCCTGTGGCGTTCCTCCATCCTGTCAGAGGTCTGTACGGACACCCTCTCCACCTCTGTCTACGCCCGTGGGGCCACCTGGCTGCGCTGGAGGGGCCTGCAGGCCGAGTTCTGCCGCTGCACATCGAGGGGAAGGGAGCAGTGTCACAGGGTCCCTGTCACCAGTGAGTGTGCTTGACACCTGCTGATTCACACATTCACGCACACAGACACGCACAGTGCCTGCCTGCTCTCTGTGAGTGCCTGCTCTCTGTGAGTGTCTGCTCTCTGTGAGTGCCTGCATAGCGCTTGGGTTATAAACACACCTGTACCACGGTGCTGGGTCAGTAACAAGTTGGTGGTCATCATATCTGGCTCTACATGGCCTTTGTCACCTCTCCATTTTCCTACCCCCCCCCCCCCCCCCCCCCCCCCCCCATTCATGCAATTTGCCTCCGTCTGCCTTCTGTCATTCCCCGGGCGAATAAGTGAGGTGGCGATCCACATCCCAATCCGGTCTTTGGGGATCCACAGACAGTCCACGGGGAGCTTGGGGGGAACTGAGAGGGTAACTGAGATGGAAAGAAAGCAATGATCTGATACTGATTCCCATCCCACCCCTCCGGCAGCGTGTTACATCCCTTACTGCTACAATGGTGGGACTTGCAAAGAGGCGGTGTACACCTCTGACTTCCTGTGTGTCTGCCAAGCTGGATTCACAGGGCTGCAGTGCGAGATCAGTGAGTACAGCCACCGTTGGCGTTTAATCTAATCTAATCTAACACGACAACCACAAGCACAAAATCTTCAAATGGCAAACTGGAAAAACAATTACTGACCCATTTGCATGTTGAAGCTTTCAAAATCATTACATGATGAATAGTTTCGTGCAGCCATGTTCTCTGGCGGCTGCTGTGAATCTTTCATGATGGAGTACAGCAGGTGAAGAGGCTGAAGCTTTATAAACCTTTTTATTAGTTGTAGTCTGCTGGCACTGGTGCCCTGTTCTGTATCCTGTAAGCTACGCCTTACCTCTGAATGATCTCCCAGCATTACATGGCTCTGCATTTGGATACAGGAAAGTAGGTCAGGCTTCCTTTCCTCAGTTTAATGACTCATCCCCCCCGATCTGCATCACTTGGCTTGTGGTTTGGTAATGGCTCTCAAAGACGAACTTGGTGAAGAAAAACACTCTACATTATCCATTAGTGACACATCGCTCTTAGTGTGACCACGCTCCACCCCCAGCGAATGTGCCCAGTAAAGTCGTCTCTCAGAGGCTATCAGACTATGAAATGCCTTCGACCACAGTGACCAGAGGAATCAGTTTTGCAGGGACGGGCATTTATGTGACACACTCACTGTCATTAGCAGGGATATGAGCAAAATGATAGTAAAACTGCACGTAGATTCAAGGAAATCTGACACAAATTCCTGCTGAGCCCGTTTTTCATGACAAGTTGTTATTGTGACCTATTCTGTCTCACCCATCAGACACGGCTGAGAAGTGCATCGTGGGAAGGGGGGAGAGCTACCGCGGCACATGGAGTGTGACCCAGTCAGGGCTCAGCTGCCTTAACTGGAATTCCACTGCACTGCAGGGCAAGAAGTTCAACGCTCTGAAGCCAAGGGCGGGAACTCAGGGTCTGGGCAACCACAATTACTGCAGGTACACCAGGCTACAGCTGGCATGCAGGACAGTCGCCTAATGCCAACCTGCCATTCTGCACACGGGCACCTGTCTGATTATGTTCAGGGGGCTAATGCCGTGCTTAAATAATGGCGAGAGAGAGAATTTACTTACTTAGCAGATGGTTTTATCCAACAATTTAGAGCAGAATCAGACAGTCCTTGGAGCAACTGAGCTTAAGAGCCATGCTCAGGAACCAATGGTGACGTCACGCTGACCTCAGGAGACCTTAACAGGAGCATCCTCACCCACTGAGACACACGCCACATTAAACCTAGAGTCACATGCTTTTCTTTCTACTGTTGTTTTTATTAGCATTTATTAAGGTTACCAACAATCATGAAATGATGTAGCATAATGAAGAGAACCAGCTTGGAGGAAATTAGCCAAGCTGCTGACTCCTCCCCGCTTTTGCACCCAGAAACCCTGACGACGACTCGACGCCCTGGTGCTACGTCTACAAGGGGATTCAAATCGAGTGGGAGTACTGCTCACTGCCCAGCTGTCCTACAGGCACGGAGACGGCCCTCCTAACACCTGCCTCTATGCCGCAGCTCTTAGTTACTTTTGGTACAGCATCGATATTAATGTTTCAACGGTTCAATGACTTCTGCAGATCCAGACTTGGAATGCCTTAAGGATACGGGGAAGACCTACCGGGGTACAGCGACACAGACAAAAACAGGCCAGCGGTGCCTGCCTTGGGACTTCCCTGTGTTGAGGAGCAAGGTGTACAATGCCTGGAGGTCCGACGCCGTGAATCTGGGCCTGGCCAGCCACAGTTACTGCAGGTCTGTACTCCCTGCGAACAATCCACCTGAGGCATATTGATTTCAGGGAGGTAGATGAACGGGGGGGGCGGTGGCTAGGCTTAGGATGCCATATACTGCGTTATTTTTGCTTGAAAACAAGCCCCCATTTCGGCAAATTTAACCGGGAAATGCCAGAATAGCGTTGCTATTTAAAATGCCATCAAAATACCATGTACAATGTATAAAATCTGTAATTGGATACCACAGACGTCTAATGCTGGCTGGGGTTACAGGGGTAAAACTTTTTACCCGCTAATTTTACCGCTGCTGAATAGCAGAAAGACAGATATTCTGGGACATTGCGCATCACTTGTGGGCGTCAGGGAACTGCTGCCAGTCTGCGAGAGACTCCCAGATCGTCCAGGAGAGCTGGGATGCCTGTTTATGCATCTCTACCGATAGGACTAACAAATATCATCGATCATCGCAGCCACGTGAACTACAGACGCTCCTCTAGTTGTGAACGAGAAATGTTCTGAACGGCTGTTCATAACTTGAAATCTTCGTAAGTCGTTATTCAACGTCATTTTAAGGGTATACGCAAGTAAAAAGAGATGGGTAGGGCGGGAGTAGCAGCCAGAAGTCGTACTAGGCGGAATTGGCACGCAGAAAAAAAAAAAAGATGTTGCGGACAGGAAATGGGAGCCCAATGAACACAATTTGGACTTACAGTTCTCTTCGTTCATATGTCTGAAAGTTCATAAGTTGAAAGTTCGTAAGTAGAGGAGCGTCTATATAAAGCTTTAGCATAGCCAAGGCTAACATCACATCCCTAAACATCCATTACCGTAGCCTCAGCTAATGTTCACGCCCTTGTTAAAGCATTAGCGTGTACATAATTAATGTCCAGACAGCAAGGATCACTTTAGTGCTCCCAAGGTTAGTATCCACATTGCCGACAAGTCATTAGCACAGCCATAGCTAATGATTGTGACACAAACAAACATGTTAATCTGCCCTCATTAATGACTACACCCTTGGTACAGCACCAATGCACAGTTAGCATCAATATTTCCAACAAACCATTAAACAGGCACAGCCAACAACCAACAAAACATTACTTCACCAAACCAGCAAAATATTAGTGTTATGCTGGCTTAATGAGCAAACCACAAATGACCCATAATACACTCACACATTTGACATCCGCACAGCCAGCGAACTATTCCTGCACCTACGGTGGCCATCAGTAAACCACAGAGGCGTGCTGGAACCCACAGCTCGCAGTATCTGCCTTTCTTGTAATGCATCGCAATTAACTGGGAATAAATTATTTACAATTACGAGCAGACAGAGAGTTGTTAAAAGGGAGGAACTGCACATAAAATATGGCAAAGGAAATTAATGTTGAAAAACTGAAGGCACATTGAGACAGACCCTGCACTTCAGTGCATTTTCATTCTGGCAGGCAGATGGATGCAGATGTCTCTGGGTGGCGTGCACGGCCGCTCACTCACCCACAGCATTTTCATTGGAAATTATCAGCGAGCTTTGCAAGAATAACACCCGCCTTTCATTCCAGCACATGTACCCTTCAGTCCCTGTCACTTCCTCGGCTGTCCATTCACTCGGCTCCCTCTAGTCACACGGTCTCCCTCTCACTCACATACTCGCACGCACACATACACAGTACTGTCTTCTGCAGTCATTATGACCATCACTGTGGGCAGTGGTGTCTAAATGGTTAGGGAAGCGCACTTGTAATCGAAAGATTGCTGGTTCGACTCCCCGACCAGCAAGGCACCACTGCGGTACCCTGAGCAAGATATTGCCCCCAAGCACTGCTCCCCGGGCGCTGAATTAGCTGCCCCCTGCTATGTCACATATGGGTTAAATGCAGATTTTGTTCTTGTGCACTGTGTGCTGTGGCGTGTCAACAATGAAAACAAGAAAATGCTGTTTAAATGATCTTCATATTGGAGTAAAATTGATAGTATGCCTGTTAAAGTGTGTCTGCTTAGCCATTTCAGAACTCCTGCTAAAATCACCCCGGTATTTGCAGCAACCATCTGATACACCCATGTATTTTCTGACTCAACCACTAGCACACCTTGTATAGCTAATTGATGATAAATGAGTTTTTTAGACTAAATAATTAAGTGAGCTGGCGGTGAACTTTAATAAATACGCAGAATGGCTGAGTTGCCCCTGAAGAGAGGTTTGAAAACTTAAGTGATGTTCATCTAACCATCCAACTAGATATGAGTGACTTTTTGGAGAATAGAAGAGATTCTTACTAGTTTTTGTTGTGTTACTCTTAATTTGCACATGTTCAAATGCTAAATTGTGTTTTGTTCTGTGCACTTACTACCCAGATAAATAGCTTTAAACATTTCTTTTGACTGCGTAAGACTTGTGCACAGTACCATGCACACACATGCAGGCACGCACACACACAGTCATCCTCACTCAGCAGTTTATCTCATCACCTGCAGGAACCCAGATGGTGACCTAGCGCCCTGGTGTCACGTCTACAAGGGCCTCAAGCTGACGTGGGAGTTTTGTGACATTCGCCTGTGTGGTGAGTCTGCCGGCTGTCATCACCGCGTCACGATCCTATTTTGGCCAGTCAGGGCCTTGCCGTCTGGTCCTGTGGTTGTCCAAGACCTCCTCTGTCTAGCACAGATCCGAAGGCTGGGAGCACTGACTAGACTATACAACTACAGCAATGTCAAAACATTTCAAAGCGAGCATCTAAAAACTACCCATTGTTCATTGTTATATACCGATGTGTGTCACTGCAGAAAAACCACCGCTGTCCCCCTCCATCTCCGGGATCCATGCCCCCACAGCCATGAACAGAGGTAGGGCAGAAAGAACGTCAGGACATGTAACTGGTGCTGGTTACAGTGGCATTTCATAAACATTGAGCTATCAGCAAAGGCATAGGCTTGGGTTTGGGCTTGGGCTTGGGTTTGGGTTTGGCCAGTAGTCTCTTGTGGGAGTGTCCTGTGTGTTTAGGGGGGCGGAGGGTTCGGGGCACATCTTGTCCCCACTAGTGCTGAAACCAAACCTACTTCCCTGGTTATAAGACTTACAATTTGCCACACCTCCCTTGCCCAGATAAAAAATAAACGGTGCCCCCTCTGAATTCTGTCTTTCGGCTAGGCACTTGTGGCCTGCGGGAACAAAGAGCACTGCAGTTTCGAATCCGCGGGGGCCAGAAGAGTGACATTACTCTGCAACCCTGGCAGGCCGCCATCAGGGTTTACCTCCCGCGCCCCAACATCTACTCATTCTTCTGCGGGGGTGTGCTGATCGACTCCTGCTGGGTGCTGTCTGCAGCCCACTGTTTCTCTGAAGGGTATGCCTCAGCGCTGCCTCTCGCCGTGTCCCTGCTGCCTCTGGCCGTGTCCCTGCTGCCTCTGGCCGTGTCTCTGCTGCTGTGCAGGCCTGGCAGCGAGTAACTCTCTGCATTGTTCAGGTATAAAGCCGAGAACCTGCAGGTGACACTAGGAAGAACGTTCCGGCTGCAGAACTCCAGCAGCGACCAGATCTTTGGTGTGGAGGATTACTGGGTACACGACCAGTATGATGAAGCCACAGAGGACAATGACATCAGTGAGTCCAGATGACATGCAAATTTCAGACCTCAGATTGCACCAAGGGATACATTTACTTCAGATACTCATCACATCCCTGACTTACCATCTGGCACTTTCTGCCAGTTGACAGTTGAGTTTTTAATGATTGAATTTAGGCCCATTATTTCTCAGGGGTACAACAGTTAGACCCCTTTTGGCTAGAAAACAAAGCCTTTCAATATTAGACGACTTACTGCCTTATAGTTCTATATCATTTTATCCATACACCCAGCCATCCTTCTTCCTACCACTGTGCCATCCAGTGGCCAGAAAAAGCACTGCAGGTTACACCAGGGCAATGAGTTGTTCAGCAGCATGTGTACCCTCACCTCTTCCTCAGTGTTGCTGAAGCTGAAGAGTGACAATGGCATCTGTGCGGTCTACACCCCTGAGGTCCGACCCGTCTGCCTGCCAGAGCCGGACCTAGTGCTCCCTGAATGGACGGAGTGTGAGATCTCAGGATACGGGAAAGACAAAGAATGTACGGCTAAAGTTCTGCTTAATGTTTTTTAAATTCTGCAGATACTCAACTTGAAGTTGCAAAGGACTCAGTCCAGCTTAGGCATTGTGTTGTCATTAGCCTGGCAGCTTTCTCAATTAAAGGATACATACAGAACATTATCTATAATGGTGTGTGTGTGTGTTTTAATAAGTGATTGGTGATGTGGTAATGAGGGTGACTTTGCGTTACTCTGCGAGTGTAACAGCTTCCCCAGGCAGATGAGCTGAGAATTGACCACTTTCCCACTCTCTCCTCCAGTCGACGCGGAATACTCCAATCAGGTGAAGAGGGGACACGTGCGACTGTGGCCCGACAGCCAGTGTCTGCCAGAGAAGCTGTCCAACCGACCGGTGACCCAGAATATGATATGTGCCGGCGACACCCGAGGCCTGGATGACGCCTGCAAGGTGTGCTGACATCATTGTTTTGCATCATAATTTTATTTTCATCTCTTTTGTCAGCCGAATCAACCACGTTATGTGAAGACATTTACACAAAATACACCCATATGGAAAACATGGAGTGGTGTTTACTTAAAGGGAATTTCATGGTCTTCGTTTTTGTTGGGGATTCTTTATGGACCTTTTTTAAGCAGTTTTGATTTTTGTTGCCACATGTCTGGATGGTGCGTGAGCCTTGCTATGGGTTGGCACCCCGTCCTGGGGTTATGTCCTGCCTTGCGGCTGTTGTTCCAGACCCCTGCAACTTGTATACTATCAAGTGGGATAAAGGATGGATGGAGGAATGAACGAATGAAATAAAAAAATGAAATGACTCAATAAGTTGGACACCCCGATTATAGGTCCTGAAGTAAGGTAATGTAACCTTGTTTCCCTCTTTCTCATTCCACAGGGCGATTCTGGGGGCCCCCTTGTCTGCCCAAAGGATGGACGTCTGACCCTGCTGGGCATCGTAAGCTGGGGCGATGGATGTGGGAAGAAGGATGTCCCGGGAGTGTACACGCGTGTCACACGCTATGTCAGCTGGATCACCAACAAGATGCAGGCCAACAGTAACTAGGATGGGCTCTTCACTGGACTCAGACCCTTGTTATTGCGACTTGGTTAAGAACAAGCAATTGGATTCACATAGGTGTAAGAATTACCAAAGAGAACTAATACATAAAACAAATGGGAATATAATTATATTCAGATAAACACTGCGAATTTTAATGTTCATCGTGGTTTTTTTTTTTTTTTCCCCTTAGACAAAAAAGTATATAATGTTTAAACTTTTAAGGGCACATAAGTTTGTATGTAAGAAAATGTATTTATAATGCGTGGTTTTTAACAATTTGACAAAGTTTCAACAATTTTTGATTTGAAGCAGATTTTGTAAATTTGTTTTGTGATGCGTACTAATATGGCTGAGACCTGGAACGCTGAAAGTGAAAGTCTGCTGGCAGAGAAACTGAGATGCAGCCATAAGCTAACCGACAGGGTTTGTGTGCATAGGGTTGACCCCAGGCTGACCAGTCTTATGCATTTGTAAATAAACATTAGGAGAAGCAGCTATGTTTATATTTAATGCAGACATGACTTTAAGATCGTAATTACTGACCTCACCGATGCAAATCTTTGCTGGTGGTGTGAATGTGTGTATAATCCTCATGACAACATGATTTAAAGTATTTTTCTGGTTTTTTTTTTATTACTATTTATAGAGCGTAACTTGTGCTTTTTTAAAATAGGAAATGCATTAACCTCTCTATTTAAAAATAAACATTTTATAACAAACAAACTCGCTGTAATATTTCTTGCACACAAACATCCTTCCTTTTTGCTTTACCCCCAGGTCTTACCCATACGTGTGAGAGATGATTCTGATAAGGAGAGCAGCATTAACACTTACTTTCAATATGTATTTAAGTTAAATAGGCCTACAGGACTGCAAGTACCAATGGTGCTTATTCATTTTTATTGTGCTTGATTTACCGTTAATCTGCTAGATCAGGGTTCTTCAACTCTGGACCTCGATTCCAAATCCGGGTCGTGTTTTCAGTTCTCCCCGGTAGTTGTTTAATAATGACTGATTCTGATTGGTCAGAGGCTTCACACCTGACTGACAGGTAAAGGAAGGCTGGAAAACCAGCAGTGCTCGGACCTCGAGGACCGTGATTTGAATAACCCTGTGCTAGACGGTCCCCGCAAGGCGTTGCTTGATACTGGCCAGAGGGCTCGGTCTGAAGTCTGGGGAAACACACAGCAAATACATGTGCTGCCAGAAGGAAGAGGGTTTGGAAACTGGATATCAGATTTCCTTGGCTTCTCAGTAGACATCACTCCAAGGTTGCACAGAATTTCCGCAAACTCCGTACAGTTCATGTCACAGCTAACCCAGTGCTGGAGGACCGTGGCTAGTCACCTTTGCATCGATTTCCCTGTACACTGCAGGCCACGTCGCTGAGGGCAGTCGCGGGGAACTCAAGCTCTTACACTGGTTTTCCTTTCTAACACCTTGATTGTTGCCTGCTAATTATGCATTATATCTGACACAACAAGCACATTGTCACGCTTCCCTCTCATCCTTATCTCACTGCACCCTAAGTTAGCAGCCTGTTTTTTCAGCTCAGAATGAAAATCTTAATTGTTCCACTCACATGCAACAGCATACTGTCGTGTAAATATATAAATATATTTACGGGAGTGGAGTCTATATATTCTCTAGGAACTTGGAAGGCACATGGACACATGTCAGTATTGCCTAGTGCAGGGGTGGCCAATCTTATCTGCAAAGGGCCAGTGTGTATGCCGGTTTTCGCTGCAACTCCCTAATTAGATTACTAATTAGAGGACTGATTGGATGAAGAGTCCTCACACCTGGGTTTGAACAGCTGACCTACAGGTTATCCCAAAACCTGCATACACACCCGGCCCTTTGCGGATAAGATTGGCCACTCCTGGCCTACAGTAGTGCATTTTACCGAAAGCACAAGAAACCAGATATAATGCAACAGAGAAAGGAACTTGTTCTGGTTCAGTGATATCACTACAAATATTACCAACGCGTTAATAGGCCTATATGTTGTCGTTTATGAAGCTTCGTGCGCAGTTTCGCCATAGTGCAGTCTGTCCAAGAATTTATAATACCTTATAATATCGTTTATAACATTTACCTTATAATATCGTTATAACAATTTACCTTATAATATCGACAACATTTACCTTATAATATCGTTATAACAATCGTTGTTGTTAGTCATCTCAGTCATTTCATAAGGAACATTTTGAAGTGAAGGCAAATAATTATTTTAGCTCCTGACAGAGCTTAAATTTTTCGTGGATTATATATATATATATATATATTTATTGACAAACGTGAACCAAATTCCAGTGTCAATTCGGTATTAATAGCCTAGCGCTAAAATACACTTGATAATACATACTAATGCAGGGAGGTGCCTGGAAATAGCCTACCAGGTATATTCACCACTTAAATGAGGAAACACACAGTTCGCATTTTGCTATTTAAAAACTTGGTTTTCGCTGACAGTAATTTCGCAGAACTTTAAAGTGGACCGAGGCAAAATCATCCCTCTGTTAGCAAGGCGACAGCCCATCAATATCACGCACACTGGCATGCAAATAATCTCAGCCACTGTATACCTGGGCGGCTTTAATCCACCTGCCGCTTTCATCCCTCCTTTGTTAATCATTATTTGCATGCGAAACCAGCAAACGCGTTTCCTGATGAGCTGAGCTGAACTTCGTTTCCATCAGCACTATGGTAACGTAACTAAAATTATCCATTCTAAAAATTATTATTCAAAATTATGTGCTTGGGATTAATTTGAGCCTGGAGAGCGTCGATTATAAGTATAAAATGCAATGTGTTATAATTTTAATGTGCTGCGTTTCTACAGGCGTTTCTGTTTCTGACTGCCAGTTACTGTAGTAGCCGCTTGTTAAAATAGGGTTGCTAAAACTACTAAAAGAACAACACTAATATGACTAGACTGATTATAGCTGTATTCTCTGTATTTTGTTTGCATATGTGTTTATTCGTGGGAAGTTCGTGTGAAAGCAGGGCTGTTAACGTAAAACTTCTACGTTATAATACCAAAGCTTTTTCATTGAGCTGTCGCTGCTGTTACGGTCATAATTACTTCGTTTTTCAATGTTTATAATCTTAGTTTTTTTCTCCCCACAATGAACAGTATTTTTACTCTCCCCGTAGCGTGCAAAATATGATCACTGTAAAAATAATTAATGTGAAAAAGCTTAATTTACGTGCTCAAAATAAGAATTTAGGAAAACCAAAATTCCCTCACTGATAGCGACACTTTCATTGGCAAATGCATCAACTTGTGATCTGTGACATAATTATAAAATTCACCTCAAGCCTTTCCCCTTATAAGCAACACATTATAAGGAAACTACTTAATTTGGCTTAATACCGAAAACAGAATAGTGATGTTTTTATGAATCTCCGTGGCCTGCTGGATCTTGCCCTCCATGATACATACAGATACTGTACACATACAAACTAAAAAAAAAGAGCTTAAAAAGAGTCACGATTCGAATATTTGTCGACATTAATTTTTAAATAGTTTTTTGAGGATAGAATGTAAATTGCTGTTGCGTACGCCTTGACTCCTCCTTGTGGTGTGTTGTGTACTGCACTCATCAATTTGACAGTTTTGTTTTTGGTTTATAGTTTCATACGGTAGACCAGGGGTCACCAACCTTTTTGAAACTGAGTGCTACTTCACGGGTACTGAGCCATACGAAGGGCAACCAGTTTGAAACACCATCCTGAACTAATCTAAACTTCATGTATAATAAACATGTTTTAAATACTTTTTTTGGATATTGTCATTTTCAAATCGCGGGCACCATGTTGGCGACTCCTGCAGTAGACGGATCTTATGACCAGTAAAGTGTGAGAGAAATGGGGAGATAAATTAAACTTGTACAAATGGCACTTTTTAATTAGTACAGTATATTATCTTCAAATCCATAATGTTGTAGATTTTTCTTCTTTTAACCCTAAATGAGCTTTTATATTGTATTGATTTGTCTCCCGACAAAAGTACTGCTGCACTCATTTTTGCATTAGATAATGGAGGAAATGTTTATTATCACTGACGTGTATCTCCAAACAACAACGGTCAGGTTTGGTCAAAATCTTGATAATTGGTCGGGAGGAAGTTGTGACTGTTCAAACGTAACATTTGGAAAGAGCTGCTTTCACAATGAAATATTGACTGATATCTGAAGTAATAAAGATTTGCTACTATTAATTGCTGTTATGCATAATATAACGTAACACCTCATCACACTGCAACCATGCCACAAAAGGAAAATTTCTGAAACCTTGTGTATTTTCCCATTTGCTGGACCTGTAAAGAGTATCTTTTGAATCTTTTAGCAGCTGAATGCTCCTTTAAACCTTTTCACCTGGAGTTTTACCTCCTTTTTATTTGATACCCTTTCTGCCACTTTCCTCACAGCATGATATCTCTATACTTTGCACAGTCCAGGCTATAAACCCGAGGTGTATAAACAAAACCCAGACTGCCAGCATGTTTGCCGAATCCGTATTTGCGGTTAAAGCTGAAGTGAGCATGTTCATGCCAGCATCACCAGTCCAGGCCCTGGAATCATTAACAGAGATACACAGCTGACAGTGTCTTTGCTGAGGGGACTTTGCTGTTAACTCTGTCTGTGTGCGACTTCAGTTTCTTTCTGACCCATTACACTCTGTGGTGACTCTCCCGTCACACCGTTCCACTTTTCCCCCAGTGACCTTGGGTATTATTACCAGCTTCCTCTTTCCCTGCAGCATTTCTATATGCAAGCTGGAGCACTTGGGGCAAAACAATCTTCATTCATTGATGCCCTTTGTATTTAACCCATATTGTTTACTAAGCAAAAATGACAGTGTAAGACCTTTAATGTAGCAGTAATGTTGGTTTATATGACGTTATATTTGTGTCTCATTCCTCAGCGCACAATGGAACAAAGCCTATGTGGGACCTTAGGCAGCCTTCAGCACTAACTCACACTGAACTGGGCAATTTCACCCTGTTCTGTGTGGTTGGGTGGGGGGTCACTCATCAACGAAAATCAATTCCATCACGTAGCTGCTCTCAACAAACAGGGTTTTATTTACAATACAGGACACAAAAGGAGAACCAGAAAACAAAGGTACCACAGGGGGTCAACATAGATCAGGTATAACAGAACTAAAGCAGGGAGCAACATAGGAAACTACAATAAATAACACAGTTAAACTACCACAGCTACAAACACATAATAATAACCATAGAGCAAACACAGGGTAACGGCCACAAATACACACAGAAATACCATGAGACGAAACACAGGGGTATAAGCAAACTGAGCAACAAGGGCAGGAATTTAAATACACAGCCAACAAGGGTATGATGAGGGACAGGTCTGAGTCATTACTAATTGCACAAACACTAGAGATTAGGGCAACAAGGAGCAGGTGAGGGGAATTAACAGGAGCTAAGGAATTTAACAGTAAATATTATAGTAAATATTTAGTGTAAGACCTTTAATGAAGCTGCATGGTTATTTTATATAACCGTATACAGGTTCACATAAAAACGCTCTCATTGGCTGGCTTGTGAGTCTGTGTGTGATTCTGAAAGTGCTGCATTTTTTGCTTTTGCAGAGTTTCTTTGGGAAGTTGAAGAGCCTGTAAGTAGAAATAGTTGCACGTTTCTGTTGTATTCATACCAGTGCTGCCTGTACGTGTAACACGCAGGAAGGATTATGGGAATCATTTTTAAAGCATATTAAAACAGCAAAATGTAAAGGTGCTACACAGTAAAAGCAAATTCGTTGGAATCCACACCAATGTAGACTTGCTTAAGAAAATGAGTCTTAATGGAAATATAAAATTTGTGATAGAAATGATTTTGTTTAGTGATGATAGACAACCAATTTGCTTATAACTCACTCCTGTTGAGGAAATGTCCTAAATCGTGTTTTTTGTGTCATTTGCTGTGTGCTTTTCCTCTGTGGCCCCCCGGTTGAAACAGTGGACCCCCAGCTCCACCCAAAAGGATTGGTGAGTCTATTCAGCACTCCTAGAGACAGGCCTCCTTTTTCTGTGCAAACTGTTTCTTTCACCACTGACATTTTGAATATTATTGTATATTTGAAAGCACCAGATGGTAGCTTCTTCAGCAGAGCACGCACACACGCATATGTATGTATTCATATCTTTGTGGGGACCGTCCATTAATTTCTATGGGAACACCCTAATTCCAGCAATGACAACTTTAACCCCTACCTAGCCATAACCTTAAGCATAAGTACCCAAACAAAATACAAGACTTCGGTCATTTTTAGTTCTTGGATGGCAGTCAAGGATTTTCATAAAATTGAGTTTTCCCTTGGAGATAGAAAAAATGGTCCCCACAATGTCAAAATAACAGATTTTGAGCACACTGTGGGGACATGTGGAACCCACAATGAAATATTTACATAGCCCCCCCCAAACACACACACACACACACACACACACACACACACAGTATGAGCTCTGTAGACACAAGAGTTGTGTTTTAAACATTTCTACTCCTTGCACTTTCTTCTAGATGATATGGTTTGAATAACTGTCCCAGTTGTTCTTCCTGTAAGCCACCCAGCTGACAGTGTCATTGATCATGTGACACCAGCTAAATGCATTAGTACCAGCAAGTGTGACTGTTTGCCCTAGAAGCTGTGTCTCTCGCTTTATCTAAAATAGTGCCGCAGTAGATCCCTCTTGGTGTGCATTGGTGTGATCAGTCTCCCCTTTGAAACTGTCTTTCAGATAACAGCCCTGCTTATGACTGGCCGGAAAATGAGTTTGTAAGTTTCCAGAAATGTCTGAGTACTGTACTGGCTTTTCAAATGTACATGGAGAGATGGTCACAAATACATCAAAAAGTCTTGTTACAAATTAAAAGTACTTGTTCATCAAATGTATCAAAATAGAATACAAAATACTGGTGTTAGAAAAATTTATTTAATTAAAATACAAGAAATTTTCTAATTTGAAAATACAGAAATACATGTAGAATAGTAACGGTGCATGAGGAATACGTGTACCATTACAGCCCTAGTAATGTGTAATATTTACAAAATATGTCAAACTTTCCAATTTTAAATAGAATAATAATTTTGTGATTGATTTGTCTTACACAGCGTTATGGCCGGAGATGGAACCGCGATATGAGAGTTTGGACGTTGGTATCGCGGTTTCGGTCTCAGTTTCAGATTCGCTACACCCTTAATTTATACCCAGTGTTTCCCACAGAATTAGTGGCGATGGCTGACAGGGGTTTCGGTGCGTACGTGCACACATGCAGGGAGGTGCCTCAACACATTCTGAAATTAATTACCATAATGCGTGAATTTCCCACTTTGTCTTACAGTAGGGTGCTGAACATGCGCAAATTCAGAGAAGAAACTTTTTCTGATATATGCTTAAAAAACAAATAAACAAAAAAATAGAACCAGAGGCTGTGATGCATATAATATGCAATGTCAGGTTCACCAGTCGGTTCTCCCCTTTACACAGGCTCATTGGCTATAAAAACACCTACGTTTAGTGGATAGAAATTCATTTTATACTTAGGAACAAAAGTAACTAGCCTGATTTATCGCTAATGAAGGCTTCCATATATGAAAAATGCTGTTCTGCTGGATATGCCTGTTGAACTAGAATTTCACTATCAGGCTAGCAAATTAATTCAAAGTTTTGGAATCATTAACAGAGATACACAGCTGACAGTGTCTTTACTGAGGGGACTTTGCTGTTAACTCTGTCTGTGTGCGACTTCAGTTTCTTTCTGACCCATTACACTCTGTGGTGACTCTCCCGTCACACCGTTCCACTTTTCCCCCAGTGACCTTGGGTATTATTACCAGCTTCCTCTTTCCCTGCAGCATTTCTATATGCAAGCTGGAGCACTTGGGGCAAAACAATCTTCATTCATTGATGCCCTTTGTATTTAACCCATATTGTTTACTAAACAAAAATGACAGTGTAAGACCTTTAATGTAGCAGTAATGTTGATTTATATGACGTTATATTTGTGTCTCATTCCTCAGCGCACAATGGAACAAAGCCTATGTGGGACCTTAGGCAGCCTTCAGCACTAACTCCCACTGAACTGGGCAATTTCACCCTGTTCTGCGTGGTTGCGTGGGGGGTCACTCATCAACGAAAATCAATTCCATCATGTAGCGGCTCTCAACAAACAGGGTTTTATTTACAAAACAGGACACAAAAGGAGAACCAGAAAACAAAGGTACCACAAGGGGGTCAACATAGATCAGGTATAACAGAACTAAAGCAGGGAGCAACATAGGAAACTACAATAAATAACACAGTTAAACTACCACAGCTACAAACACAATAATAACCATAGAGCAAACACAGGGTAACGGCCACAAATACACACAGAAATACCATGAGACGAAACACAGGGGTATAAGCAAACTGAGCAACAAGGGCAGGAATTTAAATACACAACCAACAAGGGTATGATGAGGGACAGGTCTGAGTCATTACTAATTGCACAAACACTAGAGATTAGGGCAACAAGGAGCAGGTGAGGGGAATTAACAGGAGCTAAGGAATTTAACAGGAATACAAGTGAAACAAAACATTACTAAAAAACCAAATAGACAAAGGCAGAACTGACTAAAAGAGATACAGAACAAAGATCTATACTACAAGAAAATGACAAAATGGCCAAGGGGGAAAAACCCTGAACATATCCAGAGTTGAGACTGGTCTCCTGACAGCCTCAAACCCAGGACTGCTTGGTCCGCTGCTACACATTCAGCCCATTTAGCCATAGAGCAGCTCCCAGAGCAGTAGAACACAGTAGGAACTAAGGGGCCACAAGACTGAGGAAGGAACAGGATGGCCAGTGAAACAGGACAAGGCAGGGAGGGATCCTTAAAATATAATTAAACAAGGCTGGAATAATTTTAGTTCATTAACATAGAGGATTGTTGTAGAAATGACAAAGTCCAAGATGTGATGGTTAATGAATTGGCTGCAAATCACCTTCCCAGAAGGGGCACAGTACTGTACTACTGAACCCTGCATAATTTCAGGTTAAGTGCTTTGGGCTAGAGTGTTGGCTAAGATATTACATTATAATACTAATATCATCACCTGAAGCCATAATACAGGCACTTATGGTTTGTGTTAATACATTGAGCTGTAAAGAAAATTCTTCTGGTATGAAATGTTAACTTATTAGCATAAGAAATGCTTAGGATTTGGAATGTTGGCCATTAAGGAACGAGGCAGCTGGCCTGTGATTCTCAGTCAAATTCTACATTTCTGCATGTACGTACAGCTTGTGCAAAGCCGCTTACTATTTTTCTGATAACCACAATGAATCTGCATTACTGTACTCCTGTGGTTATTATTCATGCATGTATTACTTACATTGGGCATTGTTTAAATGACACTTTTACTGTGTAATTTTGCTGTATAACAGTAATAAATGAGATGTGTATTTAGAGCTTGCTGGAATATAATGTTGATAAGATGGGAAGTACTGTTGACTGCCAATTGGATTGTCACTGCATGTGTGTTGTTTGCATGCATGTGTGCATGCGTGTGTTCTGTTGCATGCTGGTTAGGATGAGGATGACTGCGATACCTATGAGGCCCCGCCGTGTGAGCGACCTGTCCTGACGGTGACCCGAAGGCCAGTGGAGGGCAATGTTTACATAGGTAATGGCAGGTCAGGGGTCACTCAGCTTGGACCACACATCGCTCAGGCCGCCCTTTTTCTTGGCTGTGACATCATAGCCCATTTCCAAGCACCATATACAGCTACATATACAGATATATCATATCAGAACGACCCAATTGTCACATCAGTTTTGTTGTTTTTTGTTTTTGTGCAAGATCTGGTTAATTGTAATATTTATAGCATTGATCTGTTTTCTGATTTAAGAGAGATCCCCCGCTGCTGTTCCTCCAAGACAGGCCTCACCCCCCCGTCCAGCTAAGATGATGCCCGTCGGCAAAGTCCCGGTAACGTCTCTGTCGATTGGTCAGCTTGCTCCTGTCTGGCCAATTAGAAGCTATCCTGTCTGAGAATTCACCCCTTTAAGTGGTCCCTGCCACAAGTTGCTGTATGTTGGATTTGTGATCATTTTGTGTCTATTGCAATTAAATTGAAAATGTGGAAAAGTACTGTATAAAGTGAGCTGGAAATCATTGTGTCTTAGTGTTTGTTTTTGTGGGAAGAGTACCTGCCTGTTTGTATGGCTTTCTGCTCATTGGCACTGTATATATCTGATTACTGTACTTGTATGCACAAAAACAAATGTTATATAACATGTTACATTTTTCATTATGGTGTGTTGACTTTTATACAGAAACCGGAGCCACACAGGGATTTCGATGAAATGCATGTCCAACTCAGTGCCAGAAAACGTAAGATTCTGCTCTTATCCAGCTTTGACTAAGCAACAGAACTAAACATAACAACTCTTTTGAACTTGTGTTTTCTCCAGGTAAAGTGTAGTGTTTTTGACAATGACATATTCAGGACTCAAGTAATTAAATTTAACTTTTACTCTAAGAAGATGCACGTGTTCCAAACACATTGCAGTTACATTTGAAATTGATTGTTATACGCATGGTGCATTTGTATGCATAATTCACAGTTTTATACATTTTCACAGCAAGAAAATTCTCACAGCTGTGACAATATACAGCAATTCATACTTCCCTCATTGCTTTGATTCAGAATTCAGAATTTCTACTCAGTTTTTCATTTGGCAGTCGCCCATGCCCTAACATTCACTGTGGTATTCATCTTATGAAAGGAGACATGCTATGAACATCTCTGTAGGAAGTGCAGGATCCAGCAGAGGCATAAGAAAAGGAGTACATTGAATAGAGAGACAGATAACATCCCAGTGGATCTCCAAGGATACCATCGAAGACAGAGGATACTGAAAAACATAGCATCTGTGTGAGGTGCCAGTGCTCCTCACTGAACTCTCATGCCAGCCCTATTGTGCTTCTGAAGCTGCAAAATTTGAAGCAATATAAAAAAACAGTAAAAATTTTGTGTTGCTTTTTTTCAATGTTAGGATTTACCTGCACTGGTGACTCTAAATAGGGGGGCACTCTTCTCCCTCCTGTGATGGCCAGCCGTTGATAGGCGATGATGAATCTCTCTCGTGTACCTTTGTGTAGTGTGTAACGCAGTCTTTCACTTACTCCACGTTCAGCACCACAAGTTAATCGCAAGGAGAAGCCTGGAACGAAGATCCCCCCAGCACGGGCTGCTCCAGTCCCTGTCCAAGTAACCCAGTGTGAGGAAGGTATGAATAGGCTGGCCAGATGTTCATCAAAAGTCTAGTTCTGAGAAACAATCCTGAGTCTCACTCGAGTGAATGTCCAAACAATGTATGTAGGTTATGTATGAAACAATGCACATTACACATCAGCTGAACTGTCATGCCCCGATCGTCCGCTCCTCTTGTGTGCCACGCCCCCTCGTTAACCGCATGTGGATTCCCTGTGTTTACCAGCTGTTCCTGATCATTGTCAATTAGTCCATTGTATTTAGTCCGCGTTTCCGTTTGTTTCCCCAGTCCGGTCATTGTATTGTCAGCCTGTATTGTTGCGTACTCTGTCTTTAATTAAACCCCGTGTTCCCGATCCCTGGATTCCTGCCCATTTGTCTGCGTTCCGAGCGCGTGCGCCATGACAGAATGACCGGACTCCGCAGAACGACGCCTCACCTCACGGAAGACGATCGGGGCATGACAGAACTAATCATTACTGAGCATAATACACAAGTAAAATCCCTGGTACCAACAGGTGGTCAGAATTATAGACCTGTGGGTTAGTTGCATATGAGTTCAAAACCCATTTGACATGGGCTTGAAATTCTCCTTGAATTAATACTAGGATGACTCACAGGAAACTGGTGTGTTATAATATAATAGGACATTAACATTTAATGCAAATGTTCTCAGTCCAGTCCTCAAGCTGCACAGCCAGTTCACAGTTTTACTGTACTTTTCCACATGTATAACAGAGCCAGATAATCATTAGCTGTATTTAATTCACTGACAAGTAAAATTTGATACCTGTGCCATGTGTCTGAATCAAAACATGGACTGGATGAGAGGGCAGAGGACTTGGCTGAGAATTGCTGTTAGAGCTAAAGTTGGATTGCATAAAACAGCCTTGTGGGGATACTCCATCTCTTAAATGAAAACTTCTCTTTGCCTTTACGCAGGAATAAATGATGCAGTGACAAAGATAAATAGATACGGGGGAGATTTATGCTTGATAAAATAGTTTGCACAATCATTAAATGATTAATCAATGTATTTAAGACAACAACAAAGAGGGATGACACTATTGGAAGGATAAATTTCACAGTATCCTCCATCCATCCATCTGCTTCTAATCATTCAGATCCAGGTCTCCAGTATAAGTAAAAATGCCGAGACCTCCCACTCCCCAGCCACCTCCTCCAGGGGGATACCCAGGCATTGCCAGATTAGTTGAGAGGTATAATCTCTCCATCATGTCCTGGGTCTGTCCCAGGGCCGCCTCCTGGTTGGTCATGCCCGAAGCACCTCCCCAGGGAGGTGTCCAGCAGGCATCCTAGCCAGAAGCCTAAACCACCTCAGCTGACTCCTTTCAGTATAGAGGAACAGCGACTCTGCTTTGAGCTCCTCCTGAATGTCTGAGCTCCTCACCCTGTCTCTAAGACTGACCTTATTGTAGAAGCTCATTTCTGCAGCTTGTGTGCTTGATGCTGCACTGATCTTCCTGGCGATCCTTCCCTCCATTCTTCCCTCACTTGTAAATCAGACCCCGAGATAATTAACTTCCTTCACTTTAGGCAGTAACTCATCCCCAACCTGGAGGGGACAAGCCACCCTTTTCCAGTTGAGAACCCTGACCTCAGATTGGAGGTGCTGATCCACATTTCTGCCACTTCACACTCAGCTGCAAACCAACCCCAGTGCACACTGGAGGTCACTGCTTGATGAAGCCAGCAGGATCACATCATCTGCCAAAAGCAAAGACGCAATCTTGAGGTCACTGAACTGGACCCCCTCTGCCCCTTAACTGTGCCTAGAAATTCTGCCTATAACGGATATGAACATAATCAGTGACATGGGGTGGTGGAGAGAAATGAGAAATGCAGAAAAGTATGGTGGAGCATGCCTTAGCTTCTGGATGAGCTGAGTTTTGTAATTCCGATTAAGCTCTACTTGCAGCTACGAGTCTCTTCACAGCTGAAGGCTCACGAAGGGGTCATTTCATTGAAGCCTGGGACCAGGGAAATCTGTCAGGAGGACAAAGAGCCAGAGCTCTTTACTGCTTCAGATGCCCAGCAGCCCAAACAGCAAATGACCTTGCATCTTTTCACTTATGATTTTTTTAAGGACTCAAGAAATGGCCAAAAATCTTGTCTGGAAACTGACGTCCAGAGTTGTCATATTTCATAACGTATAGTTTTTTGATCTGTGATTTCCAACTCAACTCACATCGCACCCGACCCCTATGGCCCTTCCTACAGGTGGTGAGTCCATTGGAGGGGGTACTCACGTGCCTTGTTTAGGCTGTGCCCGACCAGTCCCCAGCTTGCCATCGAGCCCCACCCCCAGGCCTGGCTCCAGGGGGGGGGGCCCTGGTGACCCACGTCTGGGCAAGGGAAATTGTGGATCCAATATTTTTCTCATCATTAGGGGCCTTGTGAGCCACACTTCATCTGGTTCCTCACCCAGGACCTGTTTGCCTTAGGTGACCCTACCAGGGGCAAGATAAAGTGTCGGCTCCAGGAGAGTTGGTCAGTGGCCAAAAGCGGGGACCTTGGCGGTCCGATCCTTGGCTGCAGACCCTGCAGACCCTCTTCCACTCTGGAGTTGCTTGTGGGGAGAGGCGCCGAGCAGGAGTGGGCATACTTATTGTCCCCTGGCTGGGCGCCTGTATATTGGGGTTTACCATGGTGGACGAGAGGGTTGCCTCCCTTCACCTTCGGGTGGGGAGACGGGTCCTGACTGTTCATTGCACTTGTGCACCAAGCAGCAGTTCAGAATACCCACTCTTTCTGGAGTCCATGGAAGGAGTGTTAGAGAGCACTCCTCCTGGGGACTCTCTTGTTCTGCTGGGCAACTTCAATGCTTACATGGGCAATGAGACCTGGAGTGGCGTGATTGGGAGGAACGCCTCCCCCGATCTGAACCCGAGCGGTGTTTTGTTATTGGACTTCTGTGCTCGTCACGGATTGTCCATAATGAACACCGTGTTCAGGCATATGGGTGTCCATATGTACACTTAGCACCAGGACACCCTAGGCCGCAGTTCGATGATCGACTTTATAGTCATGTCGTTGGACTTGCGGCCGCATGTCTTGGACACTCGGGTGAAGAGAGGGGCGGAGCTGTCAACTGATCACTACCTGGTGGTAGGTTGGCTCCGCTGGTGGGGGAGGAAGCCGGCCAGGCCTGGCAGGGCCGAGAGTATAGTGAGGGTCTGCTGGGAACGTCTGGCGGAATCCCCTGTCAGAAGGAGTTTCAACTCCTACCTCCGGCAGAACTTCTTCCATGTCCCGGGGGAGGCGGGGGACATTGAGTCCGAATGGGCCATGTTCCACGCCTCCATTGTGGAGGCGGCTGACCGGAGCTGTGGCCGTAAGGTGATCGGTGCCTGTCGCAGTGGCAATCCCCGAACCCATTGGTGGAAACCGGTGGTGAGGGATGCCGTCAAGCTGAAGGAGTCCTATCTGGCCTTTTTTGCCTGTGGGACTCCAGAGGCAGCTGATAGCTACCGGCAGGCCAAGCGGAATGCAGCTTCGGCAGTCACTGAGGCAAAAACTCGGGTGTGGGAGGAGTTTGGCAAGGCCATGGAAAACGACTTCCGGACGGCTTCGAGGAGATTCTGGTCCACCATCCGGCAGCTCAGGGCGGGAAAGCGGTGCAACATCAAACACTGTTTATGGTGGGGATGGGGTGCTGCTGACCTCAACTCGGGACGTTTTGGGTCGGTCAGGGGAGTACTTCGAAGACCTCCTCAATCCCACCGACACGCCTTCTAACGTGGAAGCAGAGTATGGGGATGTGGGGGTGGACTCCCCTATCTCTGGGGTGGAGGTCGCTGAAGTGGTTAAAAAGCTCCTCAGTGGCCGGGCCCCGGTGGTGGATGAGATCGGTCCGGAGTTCCTTAAGGCTCTGGTTGCTGTGGGGCTGTCCTGGTTGACACGCATCTGCAGCATCGCGTGGACATCGGGGGCAGACCGGGGTGGTGGTCCTCCTCTTTAAGATGGGGGACCGGAGGGTGTTCTCCAACTATAGGGGGATCACACTCCTCAGCCTCCCTGGTAAGGTCTATTCAGGGGTTCTGGAGAGGAGTGTCCGCCGGATTGTCGAACCTCGGATTCAGGAGGAGCAGTGTGGTTTTCGCCCTGGCCGTGGAACAGTGGACCAGCTCTATACTCTCTGCAGCGTTTTGGAGGGTTCATGGGAGTTTGCCCAACCAGTCTACATGTGTTTTGTGGACTCGGAGAAGGCATTCAACCGTGTCCCTCCAGGAGTCCTGTGGGGGGTGCTCCGGAAGTATGGGGTGCCGGGCTTCCTTTTAAGGGCTGTTCGGTCCCTGTATGACCGGTGCCAGAGCCTGGTCCGCATGGGCGGAAATAAGTCGGACTCATTTTCGGTGAGGGTTGGACTCTGTCAGGGCTGCCCTTTGTCACCAATTCTGTTCGTAGTTTTTATAGACGGGATTTCTAGGCGCAGCCAGGGTGTTGAGGGTGTCCGGTTTGGTGACCTCAGGATTAGGTCTCTGCTTTTTGCAGATGATGTGGTTCTGTTGGCTTCATCGGACCGTAACCTTCGGCTCTCACTGGGACAGTTCGCAGCCGAGTGTGAAGCAGCTGGGATGAGAATCAGCACCTCCAAATCCGAGACCATGGTGTCAGCCAGAAAAGGGTAGAATGCCCTCTCTGGGTCGGGGATGAGGTCCTCCCCTAAGTGGAGGAGTTTAAGTATCTCGGGGTCTTGTTCACGAGTGAGGGAACGATGGAACGGGAGATCGACAGGCGGATCGGTGTGGCATCAGCAGTGATGCGGGTGCTGCATCGCTCTGTCATGGTGAAGAAAGAGCTGAGCTAAAAGGCAAAGCTCTCGATTTACCAGTCGATCTACGTTCCTACCCTCACCGATGGTCACGAGCTTTGGGTAGTGACCGAAAGAACGAGATCGCGAGTGCAAGTGGCCGAAATGAGTTTCCTCCGCAGGGTGGCTGGGCTCTCCCTTAGGGTGAGGAGCTTGGTCATTTGGGAGGGACTCAGAGTAGAGAGGAGCCAGATGAGGTGGCTCGGGCATCTGATTATGATGCCTCCTGGATGCCTCCCTGGTGAGGTGTTCCAGGCATGTCCCACTGTGAGGAGGCCCCGGGGAAGACCCAGGACACGCTGGAGGGACTATGTCTCTCGGCTGGCCTGGGAACGCCTCGGGATTCCCCCGGAGGAGTTGGATGAAGTGGCCAGGGAGAGGGAAGTCTGGGTTTCCCTGCTGAGACTGCTGCCCCCACGACCCGACCTCGGAACCAGTGGAAGATGATGGATGGATGGATGGATGGATGATTTTTAACCCCGGGCTGCATGCAACTTGATCACAGCAATCAAAATCAGTCTAAGTGCTGTCCTGTGAACATTATTAAATTTGGTTGAATTAAAATGCTAATGGTTTGAAGCAGTGTTTGCACACTCTGGTCCACCAGGTTCCCGGATGATACTGTAACTATAAATTTATTAAGTGCTAAGACAAATATGAGAGTACTTATCTGGCCTCCTTTGTTTTTCAGATGTGTACCTGGACCCAAATGAAGGACAGGTGAGAATTACTGTTCAGCCTGGCAATGATCAAAACTAGAAAAGGCATTCAAGCTATTTTGTGGTCATAGGATAATAATGGCCCCCATTCTGCTTCTCTGTTTGCAGGAGGATAGTGACGACCTTTATGTAGAGCCTCATGGAGGTCAGCATTAAATGTTTGCCGTCTTACTTCCTGGATCATTGACCACGGTCCGTTTAACTTCATGTAGAGGATAATCTGACAGGGTTTTTGAATGGATTAAAAAATGAACAAGGAAGTATGTCCTTACAGGTCAGCAGTCTCGCACAAGTTGTAACAAATGGATGATAATAGTGCTTATGTTCAGCATCACCAGCCTTCTTCAGGATGCTGTCACCAGTGCAGTGTTGGCTTCTCAGATGGCTCATGGGTATAAAGGCAGTTTTTGTTTATCTGCAGCTTGTCCCTCAAGTTCCCCCAATACTCGGGCCCCTATGTGGATGCCCACCTCTCCCAAAACCGCACCCTATGAAGCTCAAGCTCCCATGTAAGAAACATCTGACAGGATCAAACCTATTAAAGGGGCCCTATTATGCTTTTCTGGTTTTCCCCTTTCCCCTTTGCGTTATGTGCATGTAAACTGTCCACAAAGTGTTAAGGCCCAAAGTACGCACCAAAGGGAGTAACTCTCACTATAGAAACCACTTTTCTCTAATCTGCCTGAAATACCTTGTTGGAATTCCAGCCCTCCCCGGGTCACCCAGGGTGCCTTTCTGTGTGGAGTTTGCATGTTCTCCCTGTACATGCGTGGGTTTCCTCCGGTTGCTCCGGTTTCCTCCCACAGTCCAAAGACATGCTGATTAGGTTAACTGGCTACTCTAAATTGCCCATAGGTGTGCATGCGAGTGTGTGTGGCTGTTTGTCTGTGGTGGCCCTGTAGTGGACTGGCAACCTGCCCAGGGTGTACCCTGCCTCTCACCTGATGATGCTGGGATTGGCTTCAGCTTCCCTGTGACCCAGATGGATAAAGCGGTATAGATAATGGATGGATAGATGGATGAATTCCAGCCCTTACTTCTGTGACATGGTGAGGTCACCTCGTAACACAGTCCTTATTGGCCACCTACAAGCAGGGATCTCTCTGCAGACTGCAAGACAGGGGTGGAATGTGTAACTAACCAATCAGGCACGTTGGGCTCATCAGGGGTGGGGCTTAAAGTTCTAACAGAGTGTTTCAGACAAATACAGTTCAGCGTTATAGACATAGTCAATAGAGATGTACAGTATGAGATATTTGTGGTTTTGGAACAATGAAGCATGTAAATCTATTTTAGTAGACCCCAAAAATAAAATTATGAATAGTGAAAATGAGCGTAGTAGGGCCCCTTTAAAATTATGTTGGTTTAAGTGGATCATTTCGAGATTTTCAAGGCTAAATCAAAGTGTCTATCTGCAGACAGATATTATTCTCCATTTGAGTCTTGTGTTTGAATGCTCACATTTCTCCACTGTCTGTCATTCAGAATGAAGCCGCCAGTGCCCACCACCAAGGCTGTAAGTACTTCCTGAGGAACACTCAGACACTAAAGAGTGGCATACCAGCATTTGTCTCACATTTATTCAAATGAATTTAATGCTGTCAGCTGGGGTTTCTGAATCAGGAATCCCTCTCAAGGCAAACCTTACTATGCATAAAACTAATTAAAAGGAAATGAGGAGTATTGTGTATCTTTTAAATGTGATATTTTATACTCAAGTGAATTGACTTTATATTGAGTGCAGGCTGAGTCATTAGTCTTCTGAAGGATAGCACGTCGTTTGTGCTTCAGCCCTGCATAAGAGCTCTTCATTGTCCTGCTGTGGTAACATCCCACAGCTCTGTAGCCCATGCAGCTGGTGCAGTAAGCTTTGGGCTCTGATTGCCCACAGAGCTGAGGCACACACATCTCTTCATACATTTGCTGAAAAGTTGCCCTTCTGAAGATTAATGTTTGAGTTTATGATTACTTGTTTGTAAGCATGCTATTATTTCCCTTTGAATGCCTGTTCATAATTTGTTTTCTCATTTTTACCAGAATGCAGCCATGCCAAGTAACGGTAAGAATCCTAAAAAAATATGATGCAAATGAAAGGCCACCTGTCCCTCTTCTAACTGCTTATCCTGGTCGGGGGTACGCGAGGCCTGTCCCAGGCAGAGTGGGGCACGAGGGTGGGACGCAAATCCTGGGTGGGATGAGAAAAGGCCATGCCTTTTTTATGTGTTTCTCTGACCTATTTGAAGTCCCCGAACAGTGGATTTAGTAGTAGGTATGCAGTTTAACACACTTTATCTTTGGGGGGTATCTAGCCCCTAGCATAAAGGTTGCAAGTATCAGTCTAAGTGTATAGGGCATTTCAGAATATCAGATCTGGTACATCTGTATTCTACGATGTGGGAAGCACCTTGGTCAGTCATCAGATGCTATAGGCTTATAGAGACATAGATTGGTCTAGCTGCAAGTAGATGGACTGTGGGATGCAAACTTCATACACACAGAGCCAGGGATGGGGCTGAAACCCCTGAACCTGGAGGGGGGAGGTCATGCTGCTACCCCCTGAGCAAGCACGCCACCATTAGGTCTGGTGCAGCATCAGAAGAAGCCAACCACAATAATAATAATAATAATAATAATAATAAATTCATTATTTTTGTGGCATATTTATGAAATGTGTATTTAAGATTAAAGTTGAGAATGAGAATGAGGGTAAATATTTTTACCTTATTCATAAGACAGGTTTTAATACATCCTAAATTATATGTGAAAAGTGTCATTTGTTGTGATATTTATTCTGTCCGAATTCTGCAAAGCACAAGGAGTGTTACATATATATATTAACATGAAATTAACAGCAAATTAACATGCTGTTTGTTAGTGTTTAGCTGCAGAGCCATTCATGCTGATGCTGCCTCCAGTCTGACACACATGCCTATCAGCAGACTCCTGATATCTCTCTCTGACATGTTCTTCCAAGCTGTAATGACAGCCTTTTTCAGCTGTTGCCAGCTTTTCAGGTTTCATCTTCATTTTCTATCTGCTACAGTGAAGCACATGTTCAGTTGAAACCTTCCCTTTATGTTGAGCTCATTCACTAGCTGTGCAGGGTGCCCTGGTTCCTTGTGCGTTACAAACTTCTACTCAAAGAGCTTGGAGGCTTTTCTTGGATATGGGATGACAAGATTTTTTTTGTACACTTTGTAATCCAAATCATCATCACTTGCATCATCAATGAAGAGCAGTGATACAGGCCAGTGACAGCCATGACATTGCCTTCTCTATGCTTCAGAGATGAGGGGTTAGTGTCATGTACAGTAGCAACGGGAGAGAATGACGACCCAGATGCAGCTTGCGGGCGAACAGACCCCGCGCAGGTGCGTTTATTGTGGGGAGTGTTTAGCTGGATAGCACACATGAAAAGAGAACAATGACTGAACAGGGAGCACAGGACTGAAGGACGCCAATGTACTAACAGAGGAGTAAAGAAAAGGCAGCTGTGGCTGGTTAACGAGAGCACAGGAACAAGAGGTAAGACTAACAAGCTTGAGGCACCACTGGTTAGACACCACGCCCAGGGAAACGCAGGGAGCCGACAAGCAGGGCAGGGCTGCACGTGCCAGTTAGGGTTAGGGTTAGGGTTCGGGTCATCTTCAGTCTGTCCTTTTCTCTATGTTTCCTTTTCTGTCACTCTGATAAGGTTTACAGTATCTTCATCTCATCAGTCCATGGAACTCTGCTCTAAGAATCCTCTGGTACATCTTCATATTTCTTTGTGAATTCCAGTCCAGCTTTCGTGTTCCTGGAGATGATCAGCTTACATCCTACAATATAGCTGCTGTGTTTCTCCTTTTTAAGTCTTCTGTGGATGATGGATTGTAATTCTCTCACTCCTTCGGTTGTTATGTTAGAAGATACTGCAGTCTTCCTTGAGTAACCTTTGCATATTTCTCTGGTAGTTCATTTATTTTTCAAAATATTCCATAAGGTTGATTTTGCCTTCTTTTGGAATTGCTCTGCAATGGTTCTTACTAACATTTGCCATAACTCATAATTCATCGGTTTTTCTCTTATGTCTTTTATCTCAAAACCAGACTCCAAAGGCAAACTCCAGTGGCTACAACCCTTCTGTGTGTGCTCAATGACTAAGAACTAGGAAATATCATGCCAATAAAACTTCCTCCTTCTGCCTGTCAATTGCTGAAATGATTTTTTAAAAAACCTTTCGTGACTCTCACTAGTGATGTTGAATGTAATCATCTCTCCTCCTTTCTCTGTTGTATCCCATCCAGTTTCAGCTCCGCCTCCTGCCCATGAAGTCAGGCCCCCCCAACCAAAGCGCCCCCCTCGCATCCCAGGCCTGAAACCCCCCATCCCATCCCCCAAGAAGGAAGCAAAGTCCAGGTGATGGTAGCACCATTTTGCTTACAGCACTCAGTGAATTGTTATCATTATATACCTATGCATTTCTTCTTATTGAGTTAAATTCATATTATTTATTGTTTAAACTTTATTTGGGGAGGGGGGTGGATTCTGGCATTAGCCAAGATTTTGGAAGTGTTCCATGGCACCCGATCTTCAGGGGCCCCTCATTGGTGCGGGGGTGTGCTTCTTAAGATGTACTTCGGTGGTAACTCATTTCACATGGACAGTAACTGCAAATATCTTTGTTCTTTTCGATGGTCTTGTCGAGTTTTGAAGCTGAACCTGCCATTCAAAATACATTTTTCTTTGTTCATTATTTTTCCCGAACTGCCATCCGACACGCATAAATGACATCAAAAAAATTAGTCACGTTATAATTAATTCCCGTTGATGCGCTATTATCGCGTTAACTTTGACAGCCCTAATATATATATATATATATATGTATATCACACACACACACACCCGCGGCCCAGAAGGGTAAGTGGTTTGGAAAATGGATGAATATATATGTCATTATCAATGGGCATTGAGTGTAAAAGAACAATCACAGCAAGTGTTCCCTGGCACTCTGTTTTAAAGAGCCCCACATTTTGGTGTAGGGATATGATTTTCACCTGTTTTGCAAGAGGTCCTGGGTTCCAATCCCCAGCAGAATCTTGCTCTACCTTAAATCAGCAGTAGGGGGTTTAATGTTTCAAAAATTCCAAACAAATTCTTCCAATATTCCTGGCAGATGAAATATGTGAACATAAAACTCTTTTTGAATCCAGCATGTCATACAGCCCCCCACCTCAGCCAGCCATGGAGTTCCACACAGCAGGTAAAGGTGAGTGTCCTTTGGGGGTGTGGTCTAAAGCAGCTTCTGCGCTGTCAGCTCTTTGTCCACAGTGTGTTTGTGAGGATACTTCAGAGCTGTGTAAACAGCTAACTCTCTGCACTGTAGCTGAAGGCTGTTATGTTTTAATCCACATCATTTTTTTTTTTTTTTTAAGTGCTTGTTGGCTCTGTTGGACTGAAAACATGACATATAACATGATATATACATATCTGAGAGTACTGACCTTTATTCCTACTTAGCTCTTTATTAATTACTTAATCATTCATTAAGTTGAACTAAACATCTTTGGTTGTGGGCTTTTTATCACTGATTCTTGTTACAACACACTTGCACTGACATAGCAAACAGACGAGGGACACGTAAGCGTGAACTAAAACTGGCATAATGAAACATTTTAATTCTGACTGAAATCTAAACAAATCCTGATACGTTTGTTTTATCCTTGTACTTTTGTTTTGTACTTTAAGTATAAAACAAAGTTATTTATATTATATTATAAGTTATTTATATTATTTATATTTTGTTTTGTTTTATTGACTAAAGCAATAATGAATTTGTTATTAACTAATTAATAATTCATTAAAAATCTATTCATTATTTGTATGAAAAACACATTAATATCCCAGGGAGCAGACATTAAAAATTGTAGTCTTTCCCTCTACTGTAAGCTGCTTCAGATAAAGTGTCAGATAAATTACTTTAAATGTAATTTAATTAATGGAATTAATTCAGTTAATAAAACAAACAATTGCGTTAATTGATTGTTTTTTTATGAAATAACATTAAAATTAATTAACTGGCAGTAGGGAACCTATATACCTATATTTCTGGAATGAACTATTTTAATCTTTGCACCATTACAATATGTTCCATAACCATAAGTTTGGCTTAACATTTAAAAAATAAGTTTAATGCATCAGTTAAAAGTTTCGGTTTCACCTGATCTAAATGTAAAAATTAACCGCAGTAAGTCTATGAGTGTAATATGTTTAAAGTCAAAGATAGGGTGTATATCTCATGAAGTAACACTCAGCTATTGGAGCATTGTGATGCTGTGTCATTGTTTTAATCTGGTCTAGGCAGCCCAACTGCTGTGAAAGCGCCCCCCATATCAGGGATAGAGGTAAACACCTTTGAAAACCTTTGCTTTGGGAATGTCACTATCAAGAAAGACTCTTTCAGCTCTTTGTCCTGTTTTAATTTATATTAAATGATTTAAATTTGATTTATTTTCCCAAAATGTGATGTGTTCCATGTCAAAACAATCACAGTGATGTTATAAAGTGAAGACGGAATGTTAGAGCAAATACATGCATCATCATTGTTTTATAGATGGATATAATGATTATTTCTGATTTCTGGAGTGCAGTGGGATTTTGGGTGATGCGGTTGCTGTGGTGACGGTGTCTGTGACATGGTTCTGATGGCTGGGTGTCCCACAGGCGTCACGTCTGCTGGACATGGAGTGGTTTGCTGGGAGCTGTGACCGCAAGGAGGCTGAGGCAGTGCTGCACATGGTGAACAAGGTGGAGCTGCAGGGAAACACACACACACACACACACACACACACACACACACACATATATATAAGCACATATACACACATACAAACTAGTTATATAGGGTATATAGAAACACTAAAATGCACACATACACAGCATCATATATAGAAACACTGACATGCACACATATGCCTAGTCATTTACAGAAACACTGAAATGCACATATACTGTACATATAGTCATATAAAGAAACACTGAAATGCAGACATACACAGTCATATATTGAAACACTGAAATGCAGACATACATTAAATACAAACCATTGAATTCACACTCCTCAGTTACTTGCTGCAGTTCTGAGTAAAGTTGTCCTTCTGTTATTTGGACCTAATGAAATGTTCACTATAGCAAAGAGTGACTCCCTCCATGGAACAAGATGACATAGATGAGTTTTAGCAGAATATTTCACTTAACCCAGTTCGCATTGCCACAGGTGGATTGTACCGAAACATTTTATTACCCCTTTACTATGTGCAATGTGGTTTTGCAGCATTTCGATGTCAAATACATTCAGGGATATTTGCAGGGTAGTAGAACAACAACAACAAATTGACTTGTTTAAAACATTTATTATTTCACCAGGGCCCTGACTATGATAAGTGGTTGGAAGATGGGTGGATTGATGGATGGATGGATTTATATGAATTCTTAGTTATTATATATTTTTATGCATACTACCATGTTGCAGAAAACATAAGCTTTCAGTAGACATTTAAATGCAGTCTCTTATTCGATAGAATATTTTTTAGTTGCAGGATAGCTTCTTTGGTGTTTATAAACCTCAGGATGACTGAGCTTCATGTCCTTCTCCTTGTTACACTCCCTACTGGTGGCGTTATGATGGTGCAGGATGGAGCCTTCCTGATACGCCACAGCTCAGCGCAAAGCACGCGGCAGCCATACACACTGGTGGTGCTGTACCGCGAGAAAGTCTACAACATCCCTGTACGCTTCTTGGAGGAGACGCAGAGCTATGCCCTAGGCAAAGACGGCAAGAAATCTGAGGAGGTGAGGGAGGAACCAGAAAGAGGGAGATACAGGCATTAGCCAAAGAAAAAAGGCGAGAGAATGACACGGAGCATGAGAGAGCTAAAGAGATGAGGGCAGCATACTACCTTCCTACAAATAGCATGGATGGAAAATGCATGTCTAATTATAACAGTTACATGACGCTTGTAACCTTAAATAGATCATTGAGGGACAGAGCTTATGGGCTTGTTTGATTTTACTTGTTATATGGCATCAGGCCCAGGGCTAGTCTCAGATCACTAGAAGGGTTAGGTGACGACATTAATTGATGACATAGGCAGGGGTGAGGGGAATCTAGCCTTGCTGTGGAGAATTATGGACAAGGGAGATGTCTGTAATATTGATTCTACCATTTTCTTTTAATTTCCTTTGTGTTTCAGTTTTATGGAAGCCTTATGGATATCATCTCTCACCACAAGAATAACCCCATCGTCCTGATCGACAGCAAAAGTCAGGCGACACACACCACATATCTCAGCCACGCCGTCCGCCCGTGACACAAATGGCTCCTGATGCTGTTTCATTAATGACAACTGTATCATGCATTGAACATCGATTCTCTTATAATTTAAATAGACACTGAAACCTGCAGTGCTGGATGTCTATGTTCAGTCTGTATACCTTAGCACAATTCCCTTTCACAGCATAGATAACCATTTACGCACTGACAGAGTACAGCCTTTAATACACCCTCAGATGGCCACACACAGTTCCAGCAGCTATACATTTATACCTAACTTTTGTGTCTAGTGTACTTTTATACTTAGGAGGAAAAAAAAGAAAAAAAAACTTAAATAAAATGTGATCACAGCCCAATTTTTCCTCACATTTACATAATTGTTTAGACAGGGCATGTAATAACTGACTTATTAATAAGTATAGATTTTATTATAGTTATTATTATTTATAAATTAACTTTTTTGGACTTTATCATTTTGTGAAATACTTTTTATTTCCTTCTGGAAGTGCCATGGGCCCCTATGGTCTTCATGCTCTCTCACCACTTTTGTACCTGCAGGTCCCCTTTTGTGAAACATCAGCATTATTGGTGCAGAGCTGCAGTCTGTTCCAACAGCCCTGCATTTGTTTATTCTGAGTTGCTGTTGTAATCACAGTATGGGGTCCCTAGCACTGTTCTGTTTTCATTTGGAAGTACCTGATTAAATGACAGTTTCATCTAGATCATAACTTTTGACACTGATAGTGGCAGATAAACATAACCTTTCTAAATACACAAAGTTTTGGTTAGATGTGATTATTTAACTGTTATCTACGATTTGATTATGAATTATAAATTTATGAATTTATTAATATAGCTGAGAACTTCAAGGCTCACCATTCCATCAGTATGGAAAGCTATCCTATTTTATGGGTGGAATGAATTACAAGAGTGTTTTACACTGGCAAGTGTCTATGTGGAATTCTCTGTGCAGTAGACGAATATTCATTTGTAATTAGTGGTTAACCACTGTTTGTGCTGGTGCAGCTGCATGGTCATCACTCTTTTCATTACTTTTGGATTATAATCTTTTAAAGCCTAAAGTATATAAAAAATTAAGCACTCTTCTTTGTTGTCTGTATATTTTCATAGTTGGTGGGAAAAAAGTCAAAGCTGTCTGAGCAGACACACTTCACATAAACATTGTCATAAGTCTTATTTGAGATTCCACATGAGCAATAAACCAAATAAAGCAGGAAAACTTAAGGTAACTAAAGCTAATCTTCTACTGATTCGCTATTATAGCATTTAGTGATACTTTTCTTTACAAATATAACCTGTGATGAACTGATATTTTTTAACCTGATGCCAGTGATCAATTACCCAGGTGCCTGGTTTATTAAATGTTCATTGAATGAATCAACAAGTAATAAGCTGCTTCAGTGGTCTTTAAGTGTTGAATTATATAAGCAGTGACTATATTGAAATGACCCTGACTAAGATGGGCCTGTTATGAACTCGGGTGGTTCAGGTGTGAGGGCGAGGCATTGTTCAGGCGGAGAAGAGAATGTGGACGACCCACTTGCGGCCCGAAGGACAAAATGGGGTTTATTAACAAAAACAGAAAACACCAAAAACAAAAAGGACCACGAGGGGTCAAAGTAGATGGGGATAAACAGGGCAGGTAAGCATACACAAATATCCAACAAACACAATCAACGAACCACTAACCACTGGGGAACTGAACTGAGGAAGTGACTTAAATACTGAAACTAAACTGGGTAACAAGTAGGGGTGTAACAATACATCGATTTGTATCGATATATCGATTCAACGGAAAACGATCCGATGCATCGATGTGACCGCATAAATATCGATACATGCGTTTTTATTTTCTGGCCTGTTCCAGTATTGTTTTCATGATCCACTCCGACGAATACATGGTCTACACCAGGGGTGCCTAATATGTTGATCGTGATCTCCTGGTCGATCGCAAAGGTAGTGTGGGTAGATCGTATGGCATAAAAAATAGAGGATGGATGACGCGTTCAACCGCACCAGCTGCTGCAAGCTACCGAGTCGCCTAGTTAGCCTCCAATTTATTTCTACTAAACTTAAGAAAGGGTATAAAAATGAATGGGGGAGCTGGACCAAGTAAGAAGCCTCTAGCACACGAGAGGGTCATACGAGCAGGTCATGAACATACTTTTTGTTACACTTTTGTATTTGTCTGGAGAAGACTTGATTCAAAATAAATTATTCACTGTGTTAATCTGCATCCATCCAAAGTTTTTATTTTTTCCTTATTGCACTTTATTTTGCTTGATTTATGGGACATACTTGACTACACTAGATTTTGTTTACAGTTCCCAATAAAATATTAAATGCTAATTATATTTGCCTTTTTTAATCCATTGAAATGTAAAGGATTGTGTGAAATTTCGACTACTATCCCCAGTATCGTACTGAATCGCATCGTATTGTAGGAATTTCTGAGGTATTAAAAAAAAATCGAACCGTTGGCTTAAGGAATCGATACTGTATCGTATCGCGAGGAAAGCTGTGATTTACACCCCTAGTAACAAGATTAACACAAGGCAGTGGCCTGTACTACGAAGCAGGGTTACTGGCTTATCGGGGTCGGATTTAAGGTAGTCTGTGAGCGAATGTAAGTGAGCGAATACAAAGTCCATTTGAACTGTGGTACCTTAAATCCGACAAGTTACCCCAATAAGCCAGTAACCCTGCTTCGTAGTACAGGCCACAGGTGAGACTAATTAACAAAGACTGGGAAAACAGGCCACAGATGAAACTAATAATTAAATCAAGGGACTGGGAGGGGAAAACTAAGACACTGATAGAAAAAAGGAAACAGAATCTAACACGTGGGAAATAAAAACCGATAAAACACAACTAAGGCTCAAAACAAGATAAACTGATGCAAAATCACAGGACTAAACTGATACAAAAGAAACCTTAGGAACAAAATACAAAAACAGAGGAAGCAGGATTCAAACACAAGACAGAGAGGATCACAGGCAGCCACACGTTCAATGCTTTGAGCCATGTGGCCGACAGGGAGCAGACAAAACACAAAGACTGACAACACGAGGGACTGGATGACCAGCGACACCTGCTGGCCAAACGGGGAAGGGACACAGAGTGGAACAGGAGCTGACCCTGACAGGGCCACAATGGATGGATGGATGGATATATATAAGAATGAGAATTCAACTGACTATTATCAGTTTTTAGACTGACGACCAGTTTATTGTAGTTTATCAAAAATAAACAATGGGAGTGATGCAAAAGTATCTGAGTGTTTCAGCAACAAGGTAAGAATTTTTATTTGATTTATATCATTCCAACCATTCAACCATTCCATACAGTAATTAACAAAGAGGGTAATTAAGGCACCCTGTGCCATGAGGTGATTTTGATGCTGATTTAGACACTTAAAGTCTGCTACAGCTCCAAAAATGTGGTTGTACTCATGCAGTTCTTACAAGCTTTACAGTATTTTCAGGGAGATATTAACACACACACATTATTCCTTTGCTCTCACACGGCAGTCAAAGAATCCCTGCTTAATGATACTTTCATTTGAATTTCTATTACCAATCTACAGGGATGGTAAATCCAACTCATGAAATCAAAATGTGGGGTGGCATAGCAGTTAGGGCTGCTGCCTCACAGCAAGGAGGTGCTGGGTCCTTTCTGTGTGGAGTTTGCATGCTCTCCCTGTGTTCATGTGGGTTTCCTTCACAAAAGCATCTAGGGTAGGTGGATTGGCAAGTCTAAATTGGCTGTGTGTGTGCACCCTATGCTGTATTGGTAACTGCCCAGTGTTGGTTCCTGGGATAGGCTCTGTGACCCTAGTTGGGGTTCAGCAGTTATGATGATGGATTGAGATGAAGAATATGGAAAGTTTAGGCCTAGATTCTCCAGAAGACCATGTGTTTGTTTTACCACTGAGGATATGGGGTAGATGCAACCAAATAATAAAATGTGTAGGTGTGGAAGTGGGAGTTTTCCCAGTTCATTCTATATAAGTATATGTATATGTTTGCTCAGGAGAGTTCATATATACCACGTGTGTATTTTTTAAGTATAGGTGAGAATGACACTACAGTGAACATTTACATACTACAGTATTATAGTATTAAAACTGGCACACAACCAATTGCACTTTCAGGAAAGCAACATGGCACTTAGCTTTCAGCCAGTCAATGGGCTGTCACAGAGAGAATAGAGGAAAACATCCACATCGGCTAGGCTGTACGATCAATGTCTGATACGCTGAAACCCGCCCAGCTGCATTCCCTATATCCTCTGCACTGAGTATGCAGAAATAGGAAGAAAGGTTGGGGGGCTTGTCACGTGCCTTGATTTCGACGTTGAAAAGGCAGGGGGAAGGGGCTGCGGAAGGGTACAACTGGACATCCGAAATAAGAATTCTTAAATATCCACTGAAAACCACGGGGCTCCGCCGATACAGCAGACGATGAAAAGCGCAATGTGGCATCACAAAAACAAACGCAACGCTGCGGCGTGACGTCAAATCCAGGGCGATGACTGTCAGCTTCAGCATCTTGCGCGGCGCACTAGTTCGCCCAGCGGAAGCATAGAGCGCTGTGCACGGTTGCACTGAGTGTGGGACTGAATGAGACTAGTGAATCAGATTGATACCAACACAAGCCGGACGGCGTTTTAAAACCCGTTTAATATTTTGCTTATAGTTTTTTTTATATATATAAATACTATAAGCCTAGGGAATAGCCTGTGTTCCTTGTGTCCCCTTTTCCCCCTTTTTCTCCTTTCTTCTTTTTCTTGTAGCAAAAGCTGAAGGAATGGCACAGATACTTCCAATACGGTTTCAGGAACATCTGCAGGTAAGATTGAAGAACAATAACGTGTAACCCCGTTTTGGCCGCGTGCCGTCCCCGTGCCCTGCCCTTCCGCGCCGCGCCGCGCCGCGCTTCAGCTCCTTTACCGTGGTAAGATTAACATTTACAGTGTTGCCCGGCGCCTGTTTTAGCCCAGGGCCTAGCTAGCTCCATTTGGGATGATGACTTGTAAAAATTGAACAGTTAGCTGTTATTGTGTGCCGTCAAAAGGGTGAACACGCTCTTTGTATTAAAAAAAGTTTTATTTATGGATTTCATTTAATGCGCATACGGGACACTGGTCAAAATTTCAGCAAGTGAGGCGTTTTATGGGCCAAGATATTAAACGGACACATCATTCCTGATGAATGACACTTTGAAAGGTGGACCAAAAGGCGACTTTACTACCAGCTCCCAAATGCTGCTTATTCATTTAATTAAATTCTTTTTTTGCTCTTGGGGAAACCGATCAAGTTGCAGCCGGAATAGACGTGATAGGGTTGAGGGTGAATCATTTTTTCTTTTTAGAAAAGATAAATCAGCTGTATGATAACAGAAGTACCGCTCACTTGCGTGGTCTCTCTGGTTTATTTGAGTTGGTGGTCTTTTTATCTTCCTTTTTTTGGGGAAAACCACTGGCTCAGCAATTTTAAATTATGCAGATTTATTTTTTTAAAGGTTCAAGTGACTTTTCTAGGTGTTTTATGGTTTCCTTTAAAAAAATAAATGTTAAAAATGTTTGACTTGTGGAACTGTCCTGTAATTTTTTTTTTTCTTGTGCTGGGCCAGTTGTTACCTTACAGGTATATATCCTATACTTCAAATTTAATTTTATAATTTTGTATAGCAACATCCAGAATGCAGGCAAGTGGGTTGTCATGAATTCAGTAGTAATGTATTAATAGTAAACACATTTAACATTTTAATTTTCCAGTAGATAGTGGCTGAAACAAGTCTTGTCCTCTGAAAGTCTGTTGCATCAGTTAAAATTCTGAATTGTCCTTATAGAGATTACAATTATCATCATTGGTTGAATGTAGTGTCTGTAGTCGTGGTGATCAAATTAAGTGGGATTGCTCTATTGCATTGTGTACTGCAACACTTCAGACTCAGTTTTTTTCTGCTTAGCTGTGTCAGCAGATCTAGTCTCCCCCCCCATCTCCCTGGATCACAGCATGTCAAGAGTGTTGTGTTCAGCTGGAAAGTGCACCTCAGCTGGGCTGTTTCTTAGATTTAACCAGTGGTTGCTGTAGTAACAGAGGGGGGTAGAAAATAACTCGGGCATAGTGGGGGTCCACCCTCCCCAAGGCCTTTTAGTACCCATCTAAGCAGCTTGCTTCAGTTTGTCTCAGTAATTAAGCAGAATTTGAATGGCTTACTACATTTACCATGCCTTCCTTCTTTATATCTGAAGATCTTCTACTTAATCAATGGTGACTAGTTATCATTAATACCTGAACTGGTTATGAAATGGTATACCCATTTCATTTGTTTCTCTGAACTTCTAGTGAGTTTCAGGCAGAGCTGGTGGGTTGTAGGCAGCTGACAGGTAGCATTTAGCCTTAGCTTATGACAAAGTATGTTATTCCAGTGGAGTAAAAGTTTGTGTTTTGGTTTATGTTGAGGTTAGTTACTAGCAAGCTGTTGTAATATGTAAAATGGTTGGTGTAGCTAGTTAGATTTTCTGCTGTTATATGTACATGCACTAATTGCACGATCTGGTGTGGTCATAGAATTTCAGGATTTGGTGCATATGCTGTTTTCCCTCTAGAGTTCTGCCCTGAGCTATTTTTCTTCTGTCACTTTTTAATGGCACTGTTGGTGTGAAGCTAAATGCTAACGTACCTGTACTATTTAATTCTCATCTAGCCTTATTTTGTCCATCACTGTTTGGTGGAAGGATTCATTGCCGATTGTAGAATATGTCAGTCAAAATGGACATTGTTATATCCTTGCTGGGTAGACACAGCTTCCTGATGAATGATGTCACATGACTTGTCAGTATTCATGATAATATAGAATGAGTGGCTGTTCTCTCTGAATGTTTTTAATCTATAATTTTAATTTAAAGTTAATTTCTTAACTATTTTTAAGCCTTGCAAATAAGAAGATAAATTGATTAATATACTTCTGAAGACTATTCTTCTAGTTTCCTTTTTATAACAATATTAAATTGCAGATCTTTTAACGTACTTTTAAAATCCTTGTCTTAATGTATTTCCATGAGATTTTACATTAGTCCTGGTGTTAGTTTGGAACGTGAAAATAATAAAGGTTCATGGCATTAATTTAAAATTTGTTTTTGAAAAGATGAGCCTCTTGTGCATCAGTCAAAAATGAAACTGCCTTCAAATGTTTACATGTAAATAATAGTGTTGCCATCCATTTTTTAGTATTTACTAATTCCGTGCCTTTATTGGTGTTAGTGCAAAGACTGGTGGACCTTTCAGTACAAGCTTTAGATTATTTTTTTTTTCTTCTTATTACCAAATCCAAAATGTAAGAATATCATTTATATTGACAATTGGATGTAACGCATAGAGTTGATAATTACATTTGTGTGTACAAATGCTGATGGGCATATGTTAAATATGGTGAGGTTTTGCAAAGCCTGAACTTTAGTTGGCTGTGGAAACACATCTGTGGAATTTGCAGACTAAGGGCTTTGGGATGCATTCGGTTTTTCTCCTTTCTTGGCAATGTTTTTAGCCCTTCTCGTTACTACAAAGTGTATTTCTGTCTTCCTATTCATGCAGTGATGGCTAAGTCTCTTGACAACTGCAGTGTCCTGCTTCCTTTTTATGCAACCCCCTTGCATATTTAACTCATCTGATGTTTTTCCCCCTTTGCTTTTGGTGGTGCTCTGCTTCATATTTTAGCTGTAGAACGTTGAACGTTCATAGTGCTGCAGTTAATTGGGTAAAAGGATTGCTTTTGCTAATCTGTGTTACAAGGCAGCTAACATCACCTCACATTATTTAGGTCTAGCATTCACAATTAAGGGTTCGTCAGCATATCTCAGATGGTATCTAACCTGGTGTACCATCCTGTGATGTGAATGTATTAATTTTAAAAGAATACAAATGCAAAAGTGTAGAAAATTAGGCAGTTGTAAGACAGAACTACTATCCCAGATCCCAATGCTGTTGCCTGTAGGCTAAGGGCATACCTGCCTTGTATTGTGCTTGAGCATGACTGCCCCCCCAGCTCCACTCCCTCGCTGGCCTGTGTTCACATTGCACTTAATGTTCCTGGCCTGACCACGCTTTTGCCATCATTGTGTGACATTTTTGTGTTGATGAAAACGTACAAAGGATAGCGCTATCGTACACCAGAATGCAATTCGTCATTAATATCCTTATGCTGTGGCTTATTTGGAGTCACTTTGGGCCTGATGATACGCAGACTTATCAAGTATGTAACGCAGCAATTATTTATTTGTGCCACACCAATAAGAAGATATCTGAGTTTGTGCAGAATAGTGTTGATGTTAAGTCAGTGATTTATTTAAGGGATCTTATAATATTGCAGGATCTTAACATAGCCTGTTTGCTACATTATAAGATCCTCACAGTAGCATGTTTATACCTACAGGTTATTAGGATACACTGTGTTTTAAGCACTTGGATAGTAAAGCATAATGTGCTGTGTAGAAGTTTTTTATGTTTATTGAGCAGATGAATGGAAGAAAACAGAAGAAACTGCTGTAACCTTTATGGGCGCTTATATTATCTGTTCACTATTTTTTTTTTTACAGTGGAGAGTAATGGTGATGAGTTACGGAAGAAATACATTTTACATTTTTACGTGCTTGCATGTTTTTATTTTTTTCTTTGTCAGTGCACCGCACTCTCGAAATCCATATAATGAATTGTATCCATACTGATCCCCCTAGATGCGACCTGTACAGCTTATCTGATCTGTTCCTTACAGGTTCGGGTCATGTGTAGTGTACATGTGCTTACGAGTGTCAGTTGCATCATTGATGTAGTGACTGTGTTCTGCACCCAGGCATGGTTAGCAATCACACAACATCCATACTGAGTCCAATTAATCATACTCTGGCCCAAGCGGGCCAGGGAACAGTGAAGCGTACTGCACCCGAGCTCGGTACGGAACAGTCACACTAGCCAAACGAACTGGACTTTGGGGATCAAACCTGCTCGGGCACTGTACGAATCGGCTAGTGTGAGCACACCCTTTTTTGGAACTGCAGCTGATTCATTGTAATCCCCCCCAAATCAAGGAATGACCTTTAGTTTTATTCTGGTGAAGTGTTTTAAATCTGTAATCGATGGGTAACTACTTGTTTGCAGAACAGTTTTTTTTTATACTGTCCGTGTTGATATCTAATAGTATCATCCCCAACAATTTGTTTGTTCACAGTCTCTTCATTGTTACTGTGCTAGAGTGCCTATGATTACCCCAATTTATTTATTTTTAACCAACAGAACATTTTTAGTGGAGACCAAACTCATTGTGCCTGACTTCAGTGCCACAAAAATATAAAATGTTAGATTGTGGTAACTTATTTAAATTAAATTGTATTAGAAGTGCAGAGGATTAAATTGAACTGCAGGAAAGCCTGCAGGAATTATGCTAGGAACAAGGTTTATCTGCAACATGAATTCCAGATAGATAAATCTAATGAACTTACACAAACATAATTGCCTAATTGTGCACATGCCTGCATTAAAGCATTGCATAAGATTAGAGTGGATTTCTAGAAAAATGTGCTGTGACATTTCAATATTAGTTTAAATACTAGAACTCATGGCCATAAGTGGAATTTAGCGGGAGAACATTTTAAAATGAATTTGAGGAAGCACTTCTTTACACAGCATGTAGTTAGAGTATGGAATAGTCTTCCTGCTAGTGTAGCGGAAGCTAAAACCCTGGGTTCCTTTAAATCAGAGCTAGATAAGATTTTAACAACTAGCTATTAGTTAAGTTCTCCCCAAACAAGCTTGATGGGCCGAATGGCCTCCTTTCGTTTGTATATTTCT